TTTATTAGTGTTGATCCCAACGAGCCTTCTTTGGAAAGAAAAATAAAAAGTTAATCATTTTAAACAACCGTGGTGCCTCCGTACCCACTAATTCGTTCTGGAACTCGTGACGCGTGGTAGGCAAGTGACGATCGATGAAGCGTTTTCTCTCCGGGGGCCACAGCGGCGGGATGCGCACAAGTTCCAGCGAGTGCGGCGCGTCCCCAGCAGGCCGCGAACGCGGGGACATGTTTTCCTCATCAGAACGTGACGAGTACAGGCCGTGACGAGCTCTGAAGCCGGCGAGCACCGAGGCACGACTGTATTTTCAAATGTTTAAACTATTGTGTCGCCGGGTCTAAATAGCAAATCCTCGAAACGATCCACTAAGTGAGGACCCCTGGCCGCCCTAATTCAGTACAACCAGTGTCCTCGTAGGAAGAGGCAGCCAGGCGCAGACACGCCCAGATAAGCCACATGAGAATGGAGGCGGAGACCGGGTGCGGAGCCATGGCCGCAAGCCAAGGGCAGCGGGGAGGGGGCAGGCGGCGGCAGCCCACGGAGCCAAGGCGTGTCCGGAGCCCACGGAGGCTCCCCGCGCGGCCGGCACCTGACCTCCGCCCCCCGGCCCCAGGCTGGGAAGGACACACGGTGGCTGTCTGAGTCCCGGCCCTGCCCCTCCGCAGCCGTCTGTCCCCGCGGCCGCACGAGCTGCTGCAAAGGTTGTGCCTCTTTTCCACAGAAGCAGGGCTTTCGAACCGCCTGTGCTGGGGGGCAGGACACTGTTTTCTTTTCTTCTTTCCTTGGGAAAAAGGGAATGGCTAGACAAATTAAAAAATTTAAAAACACGGAAAAGAAGAGGCTGATTTTTCTGAGCACTGGGCGTGGCCCCTGCAGGCAGGTGGTGCTCGGGCGCGGAGCCAGGACGGCATCCACCGGAGCCAGACGGCGACAGGGCGGTCGCAGGGGCCTTGCCGGGAGGACTCCGCCCGCTGGAGACAGGCCAGTGCGTCCCCGTGGCCCCCGTTTAAGCGCAGCAGCCTGCCCGGCCCACGCAAAGGCCTCCCCGAACGTTATTCTCTTTCCACCTCCCGCCCCCCCCAACCCTGTGAGGGGCCCCGATCACGCTGTTCCTCGCCCCCGGGTGGGGAGGCGGAGGCTCAGCCCCGGGCCCGTGGGTCCGCGGAGCCGGCAGACACAGCCTCGTCTGACAGAGCCTGTCCGGCGGGGGGTGGGGGGTGTGCCGAGGGTCTTCGCGAGGAAACGCTGCGCTGGGTGCACCGCGCCGACCACGCCAGCCGGGGCCCGGGGCGGTCTGCGCCCTCCTGGCCGAGCGTGAACTCGCATCTCACTGGCGATGCGCCGCCGCGCGGGCCACGGCCCCCGCTCTCACCTGTGTTCCCGTTCCGTGACGGAAGCAGGACAGTTTATATCCAGTCAGGATGGCGGTGTGACACCCGCACGGGCCCAGAGGGCAGCCCAGGGCGCGGCCGGCAGCGGGGCCCCGCGCTCAGGCCGGCGGGCGCCGCACTGGGGCTGCCCTGCGGTGGGGGGACGCGGCGAGCCCCCCCTGCCCGGGACAAGTGGGGACCCTGCCTCCCACGGCTGCCGGCGCCTGTCGCCCCCGCGCCAGCAGCGCGCGGTGCTCCCCAGCAGTGGCAACCAAAAACGTCCCCAGACGTTGGAACTGTCCCCGGCGTTGACAAGGACTGAGCTGAAGACAGAGCAGGATCTCCTGTGTTAGCGCCAAACACACAAAAATAACGAAAAGAGCAAGAGGCTATTTTTAGAGGAGTCCTCGTCACTTACCCCGCGCGCAGCAGGTCCTGTGCCTCACTCCCCGCCCAGGTGTGGGGCCGCCTGGCTGCCGCCCCGGGGCCCGCCCCTCACTTCCCCGGCCGCCCGGCTCTGCGCCCACTCGTGGCGTCCGAGGAGCCGGGCAGGGGGTGGCAGGGCGCTGTCCAACTCCGCGGGCCCGCCCCGCCGCCCGCACGCGCGCCGCCGCCACCGCACAGCACCCTGGGACGGAGGGCGGCAGGCCCTGCCAGGCCTCCCCGCAGGGTCCCTGAAGCGGAGCCACAGGACGGCTCCGGATCGCAGAGGCCGCGCCGTCTGGCCCCACATTTCCAGCCAGCACACCACGCGGCCAAGCTCAGCCACCCCCGCGGCTCAGAGCGACCCCGCGGAAAAGCTGCCCTGGGCACACGTCCCTGATTCCCGAGAGTGCTTTCTGGGCGTCCGCGGCGGCTCCGGCGGCTCCATACGCCCCTCTGGCCGGGCCCCCACGCCAGCAAGGGGTCCGCGTCCCACCCTCCTTCCCGCAACCCCAGGCTGCTGTCGGGCTCTGGCCAGCGCTGCCGGACGGGCCGACTCCAGGCGCTCTTGCTGGCGCCGCCGGGGACACACAGCCCTCCTATCGACGGCAGCTCTGGCGGCCCCGTCTCAGAGCCACCACGGGACACACGCCACAGCTCCCAGCGTCTGCCGCTGCCTGGCAGAGCCGGCTTGGGCAAGGCTCCTGCACTCCGAGCCCGCGTCCTCATCGGGGACACGGGGACGTGGGGACAGCGACCCCACAGGGCGGCTGTGCTAGCAGAGCAAGCCGACGTCTCCACCGTCCTTCCCAGTCCGACGAGCGGCCGGCTCCCGGCGGGCAGGAACTGCCTGGAGAGGCAGGGGTCGCGGGGACACACAGTCGCCCTCGCTTCACAGGTGACAGAGACGACGAGACCGACTCCTGCCCGCCCTGCACATCCTCATTAGAAGGACACAGGAGTGGCACCTCGTTCGCCCTCTGACCCGCTGCTCAAGGGTTAATTCTTCCCCCGCTTGCTGGCGCTTGCTGGCAGAGTCCCAGGGAGCAAGCCAGGCCCCGCCAGCTGTCTCCTGCCATTTCCACCCGAGTAAACATCGTTCAGACAGCCCTGCAGGGAGCGGCGGGAGCCCGGAGGGGCATGTGTGCGTGGGTGCGTGTGACGTGCCTGTGTGCGCACGCGTGCGAACCCAGCGGGGTGGGGGTGGGGCGTGGAGGGAGAAGCGGCTTCTGAGCAGGACCCAGAAGTGCCCTGGGACCTAAATGGACACTTAGTTGCGAACAGCGTAGTTCCGGGCAACCACCCTAAGGGGCTGCCCCGTCCTTCCCTCCTCTTCCTCACGTCCTTCGCTCCGTTTTTAAACCGAGAGCCGCGCACCAGCCGCGGTCTCCACCCCAGCCCCCCGGCCCTGCGCCTGCGGGTGCCTGGCGGATGCTGCTGGCAGATCGCTTCTGCTTCTGGGCCCTTTACGCCTAAGGAAAACCATCCCGCGGGGCGAGCACCTGAGGCCACACGTGGAGGCCGCCTTCGCGGGCGCGGTCCCTGCACTTGGGTCAGGGCCCTGGAGCAGCACAGGGAGGGCCCGGCGGATGGAGTCCCGGCCGGGTCCCCGAGGGGCTGGGCCCGGGGCGTGTGGGCTCAGGGAGCCCAGGAGGCTGGGGAGGGAACAGAGGGAGCCCCGGGGCGGGCTCCCTGCAGGGGCAGGACCTGCTTCAACAGGGCTGAGGCCACGGGGCAGAGGGGCACCCGCCCCGGGGGAGAGGGGGCGGGGTGGCGGTGGGGGAGGCAGTGGGCGCCCCACCTGCACCCCGTGGAGGCTGGAGCCCGTGGCCTGAACAAGGGCAGGCGGGCGGCTGCGGTGTCACGGGCTCACAGCGGCGCCGCCCACTCCGAAGGCCTGTCTGCTTCATGCCCACTCCCTCGCCTCGTGAAGCCACTCAGAGTGGCCACGCCGTTGGGGGGCGGGGGTGGCGGGGGGGCGGGACACAAGCCTCTCAAGCTCCTCAGCCCCTACTTCAAAGTCGCGGCGCGTGTCCCCGCCCTGTTAACAAAAGTCCCAAACCCGCAAGGGGGACGCCGCCCCTCGCTCTCCAGGTCTTCGCTGCCCCTTTGTGCTTCGTGGCAGGAAAAGGAGGCTCATAACGTTACGTTTTTAAATAAAAAGACTTTATTTGTGAAATAAGATAGCAGCTGACAGTTCAAGGCGGCCTGGGGAGTTACTGTCACGTGGAACATGACGTGCGCCTTGAGAATATTTGGCCGAGTCACACATTAGCATGTTTAGTCACCTGTGAAGTGCTAAGAAACGCGTTCCTGGTGCACACACCCCTGCGTTAGCGCTTCACCTGCCCTGGGCGGGGGGCGGGGGGCGTCCACGCCGGGAGGCTGCACTCGCGGGCTCCTCCTCAGCGAGACGCTCGCAGGTGGCCGGGCCTGTGCCCCACGGCCAGCCCCCTCCAGACAGACAGCGTTTCCGGCCAACAGGTGCCAACAGCATCATCGAAGCTTCGACCAAGGCCGTCGGCACGTGACCCCGAAGGCGGGGACACAGGTCCCCTGGAGGGGAGGACAGTCGGCGCCAACACTGGAGTCCAAGTGTTGACCGGCACTGAGTGTTTTGGTTTGAAGCAAACATTACTTATGAAATATAGTATGTTGACTAAAACATTAACTGTTAATTTTTAATAGAAAAATGTGATATAAAAATACTACTTTGTTAAAACATACAAAACGAGCAGGATGTCACTCTGGGGAACCCGGTTCGCATCAGAAAGCACGTGACTCTCCCCCCCGCACCGAGGTGGGGGCCCTGGGACCTGGCTTTCTTCACCCTCGCAAGTTCCGCTCTGGAATTAAAAGTTATGCAACATAAATAAAAGCAGCGACTCCGCATCCGAGTTACGTTAAGGGTTGTTAACGGCGCCACGTGCTGCACAGGCTCCGCCCCCGGGGCTCTTTAGCCTGCGGGGCCCCCCAGCACAGGAGCCGGGTGAGGCGGCAGCGGCGCCCCCACGTGTGGACCGCGGCGGTCGGACCCGTCCCCGCAGGCGTCCCTGGCGTCATGCCTCCCGGGGAGCGGAGCTCAGTCCTCCGCCCGTGGAGGACGCACGGGCAGAGAACGCCACCGTCGCGATATTGCACGTTGCTCCCCCGAAGGCTGGGTAGAGCCGTCCGCCACCGGCATAGCCACGGCCGCGCGCCCGGGCGTCACCCGGAGAGCAGGGGGATCTGCCACACCATGATGGACGAGGCCAGCTCCTCCGGCCGCGGCGGCCGGGCCCTCCTGCCCACCCGCCGGTGGCCCTGGCCGCCGCAGGCCACGAGCACAGAGCTGGCCCTCGCCCGCCGGGCTCGCCGCCCTGAGCCTGGCCCGGTGCCGGGCTGCCGCAGGAGGTCGCCGAAGACGCTGTCCTCGGGCCTGGGCTCCGGGGACCTGGAGGACGAGGGCAACTCGCTCCTGTGCATCGCGGGGCCCGGCGAAGCCCCCAGCCACACGGCGTCGGGGCTGCCCGGGCAGGGCCCGCCCCCCTCGCCGGGAGCTGTTTCTTGCCGGTCGTCCTCTGGGGGGCCCGCGGCGGGGGGCGGGCTGTCCCTGGGCTTGTCCTCGTCTGCCGTGGGGGCGGCGGTGGCTGCGACCAGGAACTTGACAGGCCCATTGTGCGCGTGGTAGGAGACCATGCCCCTCCCTGGGGGGGTGGGGTGCAGCGCTGTTGTGGGGTGCGGTGGGTGGGGTGCGCCCCCCACTTCTCGCATCCCGATGACCGAACCCCCCCCCCGAGAACCCTGACGTGCTCAAGTGACAGTTAAAGTGACAGTGGCGTCGAGGTGGTGTGCCCGTGGGTTTTCGGTTAACGCAGAGAGCGCCTTCGCAAGGCTGCCCTGGACGCCCCGCCGGGCCCTCAGCCCACCCCGACCCCCGACCCCCGACCCCCGCCGCCCACCACAGCACGGGAACAGCCGGCTCTGCACCCACGCCTTCCCACTTGTCCCAGGAAACGGAACTCCCTAGGTCTCGATTCACAAGTCCCGTTGGTGTGGGAACAGGAGGCCTCGCCTCCTGGGCGTTTGGGACATGGGGGTTCCGCGGGGGCCTTCCGGTGGAAAGGCGTGTGACGCGGGACTCAGGCCTTCCTACGGGACTCAGGCCCTGCCACACAGACGCCCTGCAGCCGGGAGGGCGCAGGCGGGGCGGCGTCTCCTCACCTGTCACCTTGGGGATGCCCTGCAGGCGAGGGACGGGCAGGGCCACCACGAGCCCCAGGCTGGTGCCGACCAGCAGCAGGCCGTGGCCGACGAGCAGGCAGGTCACCGACAGCCGCTGCTGCCCTGCAGGACAGACGGGGGGCGGGTCGCGAGCTGGGACAGATAGGCCCGAGAGCTCACGTCGACGGCCGCCCCCCAGGGAGCGGTGCCACTGCCGCTGGGACCTCGGTGGCCCTTCCGACTCGTCCTGGACGAGAAGCACCAGGCCAGTGGCACTTCCGTGGGGGGCGCGTCCTGGGGCAGCCCCTCAGCAGGCGCCCGCCTGGGGGACTGTCCGCTCGGCCTTGCCCGGCTCTCGAGCCCCGGGGTGCACGCTTGTGCACACCCGCACACACACGCACGCACCCTCGTGGGCGCACGCCCCACACCAGGCACGGAGCCCTTGCGGAGGAGACAGCGGGCGGAGGGAACGCGACTGTTTCCCTTCAGAAACACACCTTGAAGGCGGCCTCCGCCTCCTCACCAGGTCCTGCCTGTCTGCGCGTCAATAAACAGGACCTGACCCCGCCCACCCCCGCCCGCCCACGGGGTTGGGTCGGCGGAGCGACCCCCCATCAAGGGAGCCAGGGAACCGCTCCGGCCCCAGGGCTGGACGCGAGGGACACGGCCGGCCGGCTGTCCGTTCCCAGGGGGTTAACTGCTGGGCGCCCCGCTGCTGGGCCCCGGGGAGGGCGCTGCGCCTGGGCCGGGACCGAGTCTCGGTTTTGCTGGCTCCACGGTGAACCACACCGAGCGCGGTTCTAACCGCCGCTGAGAAAAGCTGCGCTGGTCGTTTAGAAGCCAAGAGGGGGCGTCTCATCGGCTCTGTCACCCGGAGCGAGGGGACGGGAGCGAGGGGACGGGGGCGGGGGGCACGTTAGCTCACGGCGGACACTGAAGGGGCTCGTGGAAGCCAAGGACTCGGCTCCGCCCCCTTCGAGGCCCTTCTCTGGGCGCCGCGGAGGAAGCGGGAAGCAGCTGGGCCGGGTGTGCGCTACCGGGGCTGTGGGACACCTGACGCCGGCGCTGTCCCTGCTCTGGCACCGGCCCCTCGGGACCAGGAGGCTGACGCGCGTGCGCTGAGGCGGCTCAGTCCGATGCCGTCCGGCCGGAGGGCGGGATCTTCGAGAAGGAGACTCCACGGGGAAGGAGCGGCCCCCGCGCCACCTGCCCTGGGGCCGCACCCCTAGGCTGGCGCCGGTTACAGCGTCGCGGCCCTGGTTGGGGAGCTGCCCTCCCTGGCGCCCCTGGAACCCGGGCTTCCAGCGAGGTTCACGGGTCGCCTTCTGTGTTGTCGCCACGTGTGCAGCTGCCCACGTGGGCGGCTGCAGACCCACAAGGACCCCCGGGCACCCACCACACCCAGGGAGCCTCCCGTCCTCCTGCCCCAGGGCCCCGCCTGCAAGGCTCGACGCTGGGACCGCCCCTGGATCCGACTGTAAAGCAGCGCTTCGGTTTGCGTCTGCACGACGCACAGTCACCTGGCAAATACCGCGCCCCCGCCCTGAAGCCCAGCAGGGAGCACAGGGCACAGGAAACCTTGAGAAGTGCTGAGCCCAGAGCTCGGGCCCCGCCCCACCCATACGCCCCGCCCTCGGTCCCGCCCCATCCACACGCCCCGCCCCTGGCCCCGCCCCCTCCACACGCCCCCGCCCTCGGTCCCGCCCCATCCACACGCCCCGCCCCCCGGTCCCACCCCATCCACACGCCCCACCCCTGGTCCCGCCCCATCCACACGCCCCACCCCTGGTCCCGCCCCCTCCACACGCCCCGCCCCCGAGTCCAGCCTCTGGCCTCAGACCCGCAGGACCCTCCGGTGCGCAGCCGGTTACCTGGCAGCATGTGGTGGATGGGCGTGGCTATGTTGATGTCCTGCAGGTGTTTGAGCGTCTCCGTGTGAAACAGGCGCAGCGTGGACCCTGAGGTGAAGGCGATCCAGATCCCCACGCCCGCAACGGCCATGTGCGAGATCACCATGCCCTCCTCCTGGTGGGCCTCCAGCTGGCCCTGCAGGCAGAGGCGAGGCGTGGGCGCGTGGGCGCCGGGCCGCCCGCCGAGGCGGGCCCTCTGACCCGCGGGAAGCCTGGGCCATCCGAGCGACTAGCTGGCCTGCGCACGCCCCCAACCCCGCACTTGCGGGGGCGGGAACATACCACCCACCTCGCTTCTGCTGCCATCCCCACACCCCCCTCCAGCAGATCAGAGAACGTCTGGAACGTCACGCTGCGTTCCAGCCCCCGCGGCCGAGAAAGCTGTGCTTCAAGCACGCACCGCAGCGCCTGCAACACAGCCACTGTGGCCGAGGGAGGCAGACCTGTGTCCCTGGGCTCGGGTGCAGCCCCCCCAGGCCCCTCCCCCTCAGCGCCTGGGCAGATCGGCAGCCCCTCCCGCTGAGCAGCCTGCGCGTCCCACCCTCCCTGAGCCGGAACCCAGCACCCGGGGCCCCTCTGGCCGCTGCAGGAGCCCAGGCCCGGCCCGCAGGCCAGCCTGCCACCTGTGCGGGGCAGGTACCCGCAGAGTCCGCCGTGCTGTCAGGAGATGCGGGTCTGAATACCCTGCAGCACCTTCCGTGTCCTGCAAAACTCGAGGGTGGTGGGTCGTCAGAAAAACGTTAGACTAGAACGAGCGTCCGGAGACAGTCGATTGCGTCGGAGACCACAGGGAGGAGCCGGCGCCGTCCTGAGCCTGCGCTGATTTGCTAACTGGCTGGGACCCTAAGCTCCAGGCCCAGCCAGGAGCACCTGGGACGGCTGCCCTGGGGGCGCCCATGGACTTGGCCTCCTCATCGGCACGCGGAACCAGCCAATCCCTGCTCACCTGCACCGGCGAGGGGCGCACTGGGTGGGTCCCCTTCACTAAGCTGCCATGTTGGGGTTCGACCTGAGCCTGCATCTCTCAAGTGCGATCCTTTTGTTCAAGTAAATGTTTTATTCTTCGTTGCAGCCTGAGTTTTAATTTTGGTCGACAGACCAAACTGCAGGAGGCTCATCAAAACGCAGCCTGCCCGGCACAGACGGGAGCCGCCGGGACTCCTCCCTTACCCGCCGAGGAGCGGCGGCTCCCTGGGCGGCACGGCCAACTCAGACCCGGGAGCGAGCGGCGCAGCCAGGACACCATCCCCACCCGAGCCCGAGAGACCCCTCACGGGGGCCCAGGGAGGCAGGGGGCCCAGGGCCTTGGGAGGCAGCTTGGAGCGCCCCACACCACTGTCGCCAAGGGACAGATGAGGCTCCAGCCTTTGTCGGGCTTCTTGGGGACCAGCCTCCATTTCCATCTTCTGGAAACAGGCACAGCTTTCCCTCCACGGAGCCCCACAGCCCCAAGGAGACAAGGGCTGGAGGGAGGGGCCAGTGTCTCCCCACCAAGAGCCCTGGCTGATGCCAAACCCTCCAGGGCCCCAGGACGGAGAGGGGCCAGCTGGCAGGCAGGGCAGGAACCTCCCTCTCCAACCTGCTCGCCTCCCGTGCCGCTCGGCGGCGCCACCCTGACGTGCACAGCGACTGAGCTCGGAGCACCCCCACAGCACCCACGCCGACTCCGCCACCCCAGCGCGCCTGTGCGTTTCCTCGAGCCCCTCGAGGTGCTTAGAAAATGCCTAACACCTTTGTGCTGCACGCCGGACGCGGGTTCCAGCGCCTGCTGGGAATCCGAACGAGTGCTGTTCCTCAGCGTTGGCTGGCGCACAGAACTGCACCCACATCTTCACTTCAGGTTTTTTTGTTTTTGTAAAGGCATTAAATAAGCCCAGGGCAGAAGACTGTAAGTAGCTGGGAGAGAAAAAAGAAGACCCCTCCCCGCCCCGAAGTCCAGGGGCTTGCAGCTGTCCTCGCAAGGCATCCTAGAGCAGACCCGGCAGCGTTGAGGGAGGCGAGGGTGTGGGGAGCTTCACTCCCGCCCTCAGCCCGCGGCCCAGCACCTCGCGGCCCGCCCAGGGCTGCTCGGCCGCACCCGCGTCCCCGCTGTGACGCGCCACCCGCTGTGCTGGAGCGAGGTCCAGCCTCTGAGCTGCTGCCTCCCGCAGTGCCTGGCACCTTGCCTCCTGCGCCGCCCCCGCCCCGCTCTGCTCCTGGCCCACGCGGAGCCTCAGGACGTCCCGGTGGGGACCTGCGGGGGTGCTCGGCCGGGACACCGCGCCGGCCTCTCCCCCGTGGCTGTCCTGCGCAACGGGGACCCAGCGCCAGTTCATTTCCTTTAAGAGCAGAGTCCTGCTGCTCCTCGCAAACGCGCCGACTCGCAGGGGTGCTCCAAGGGCACAGGAAGGAGGTTTTTGTTGAGATCCAAATCTGTTCCTTCTGAGGCTTTAAGGTTTACACTCATGAAGCCCTTGGAGCACGTGGAAGTCGCGTTGCGACTGGAACAAGGCCGTGACGTCACGTTCCGTCAGCCCGGCCGTGCCCTGGTGACCACGAGGAAAACCGCCCTGCAGCTGTTGGGTGTGAATTACGGAAACACCGAGGCACTGTCTTTGCAGAAACGTTCTAAAGAAAGACCATTATATTATGTTTTCTTTTCTGTGAAAAGAAACCCAACTACAGACTAAAAATGTGTTTTCTGGCTCTTGCCTGAAATTATTCAAATGGTAATTTATTGCACTAATAAATAACAGCTACTAAAAGCTACGTTTTCCTCTACTAGGTACTTTTTTAAAAATTCCATTTTAATAATAAAAGTAATATACGACACGACTAAAAATTTCAAAAGGACAATGAAAACCAAAATTGTCCTCTGCCATCCCCGCTCCCCTGTTTAGAAGTGGCAGCTTTTGTCTGTCTTTTCATAAGTTTCTGCACCGTAGAAACGGCGCGCACACACACACGCATGCACACACTCCACAACCGCTAACACGCAGGGTGCTGGCTGGTCAGAGCCGGCACCCGTCCCTGTGGTCACGTGGTGACGGCCCCGCCCCGCCCCCAGGGCACCCTCCCGTCTCTCACAGCCGTGGGGGGCGGGGGGAGCACGCCCCTCGTTAACCGCCCCCCACGGGGCTCACGGGGGTGTTTCCAGTTATCTGTGAGAGCGGGCGACGTCGCGATGGGCGTGTGAGCTGAGCTGTCGAGAACACGCCTGGTGGGGGGGGCGGGGCTGCCAGGAACGGCCGTGTGGCTTCAGAGCCGACAGGTGCCGCGGGACACCAGCCCCGCACCTCCCCGCACCGGCCGGTCCGGGAGCCCCTGCCCCGCGCACGCCAGCACCCTCCCGGGGCCCGTCCGGAAATCGGCTCCTCATTTCTGTGAGCCACTGTTCGTTCCTCATGAGGCTACGGGGCGGGCGGCGCACGCACACCCAGACGCCCGTCTGTCTGAGTGGATCGTCTGGGTGCACGCCTGTGAGTGTGGGCCCTTCGTGTCTCTGGGAGCTGCCTTTCCATACTCGTATCTGTTGAACAGGTTGGTAGTTTGCTTTCTCTTTTTAAAGCCCAGTAAGAATTCTCCTTACGTTGAAAACACAACGTAACCCTTAGTCCCAGACGCAACGTACAGCACCTATCTCACGGATTTTTAACTTACACACATTTTTATGCACACACGACAAGCGACAAAGGTTCTAAAACCACCGAGCCACGTGCTCGCCCTGCTGGGGCACCCGCCGCACGGGCCGCCCGCCCCGTCTCCCCCCACGTGGTACCAAAACCGTGCTGCTTTTTCTGAGTTTGTGTCTCAACGCCGCGTCCCCCGGAACGTTCCGAACACCAGAGCTGGGGCCTGACGCAGGCCCCCTCGTCCCAAGGGGCCGCGTCTCCCTGCCCTTCGCCGAAGGATCCGTTCACCCCCTGGTCTGAAAGGCGCTTCCACCTTTCCCCTGCGTCCCTGCGTCCTGAAGGCTCTGCCGCGTTCCCGTTGGGCACGGCCTTTACCGTACACAGGGAACCGACACTCTCCCCGTAACCGGCTAGACAAGGGTTGGTCGGATTTTCTAGATAACCCCGATTTTCTAAGCCACACCTGGAAGGGACCTCCTCTGAGCCTGAGGCGGGGGCTGCCGAGGGGCCCGCGTGTGGAGGCGGGACGGCCAGCCCCGGCGGCCCCTGGGGGCTCCGTCCCCACGCGGGCCTCTCCACCACTCACCTGCACGGTGTGCGTCTCCACACCGATGATGGACACCTGGCCCCCAGACGCCGCCCACAGAGCGTCTTCCGTGGTCAGCAGGCTCCTGACCGGCAGCACACCCAGCCTCACCACCGCCTGAGGCTCGGACTCCCAGGATCCATCTGCAACGGAAACCTCGCTCTCAGCTTCATGCGTGTGCCGCCACCCGTACACGGGGACCGGACGCAAAGGACGCAGGTGGTCGTAAGCACCGCCGGCCGGAGCATCGCCCGCGACTCCGGCACTTGGACGGTTCTGGGGCCCGGAGCTCCGCACGCGCACGTGTCCCCGGCAGCCCGGCGACAGGGTGCGGCCCCTGGTCGGCAGGCCCGCCCACGCTCGGCACGGCCCACGCTCGGCGCGTCACCCTGAGCCTCGGCTCCTTCTGGGCGCGGAGGCCCAGACAGACGGCTGGATGAGGGCGGGACAGCCGGCGGGCGGCGGCTCTGGAAGGGCCACAGAGGCCGCACGTGCGCCCCAAGCACCTGCTGACGCCCGACCCCGGGTGGGGGGCGACGGGAGACCTGCCGCGGGTGACACGGGTGGGGCCCGCCATGGGGTGGGGCCCGCGCACGCTTGGGAGGAGGCCAAGCCCTGGCTCCCCTCGGGAGGCAGCAGAGCAGCCCCGCCCGTGCGGCCCTCACCTGGCGCCTTCGCGTAGACGGCCACGGCCCCGTCCACCAGGCCGGCGAACAGGCGGCGCGGCGTGCAGGCCAGGCTCAGGACCGCGGCCTTGTCAGGGGCGAAGAAGTGCTGCAGCCGCACCTTCTTGGCGCTCGGGCTGCTTTTGTAGACAGAGATGCTGGAAGGAAGGCGGAGCCGTGAGCACCGCGGCCGGGCCTGCGTGCGTGCGTGCGGGGACAGCTGGCGCCTGCTGCCGAATCCGCGGCCTTCCCGCCGGCCCTGCCCGCACCCCTGGGCCTTCTACCGACTCCAGCTGCCTCTTGAAGACTCTGCCACTTTGACTCTTTCTTGCATTTTAAAGGAAAAACCCTGGGTTATAAAGAGACTCATCCTTCCTCGGACTTGGACACTCGCGTCCGGAACGCCGCCTCAGCCTCCCTGCAGGCTGTGTCCGCGGGGCTCGGTGACACCACAGACCGCGACGACGTCCACCCCGGACCCGGGGGCCCCTGCCCCCTCCGTTCCCCCGCACACACCCCTCAGGCGGAAGGGGCTGCTGCACTGGGGACTGCGACCCACCTTCCTTCCTCGGTCCCCAGGCAGACCGTGGGGACACGCCGCGCGCTCCCGGCCGGGCTGGGCCCCGCGGGGACGTGGACCATGCACAGGACGCGCGCCTCCACGTTGAAGCACTCGGCGACCCGGGGGCGGCCGGGGCGCAAGGACACGACGGCGACCTGGCCCATCTGGCTGGTGCAGCTGCCGACCTGCGGGGTCACGGGCGCACGCCTGACGCCGAGGGTGGGAAGCCTCCCTGCCCGGCGCGCCGTCCCCTGACCCGGGGCCGCCGATGCCCTGCCACCGCACTTGGGTGGAGTTCTCTGCGAGGGGGAGGGCGTCGGTCTGGGGAACAGAAGCAGCAGCGGGGAGCGCCGGCCGCAGGCCGGGGCCGGGGGCGCGGCCGGTTGGGGGTCGCTCCGCCCAGGTGGCTCTGCGTTCAGCCAGTTTTGCAGGGAGTGACACCCTCCTTATTCTCGCTGTGATTTTCCTGTTACAGAGACACTCCCTGCTTTGACAGCCAATCCGGGAGGGACGACACGCCGCCCGCTCTGCTCCGGGGACAGGCAGGGTCGCCAGGAGGGGGCGCTGCTACAGGCGCAGTTACCAAAACCACGCGTTCCTTCACGGTCCTGGACCCTGGGGGCAACGCGCCTGCGCCTCCCCTGTGGCCGGAGGGGAGGCGCACCCCGCCCAGGAGGCCCTCTCCGCTCCCTCTCCCAGCAGCCCCAGCCCCAGCCCCACCGCGGCCCTGCCGCCGTGCAGGACGCCGGGGTCCTGGGGGAGGGGGGCCAAGGACACCTCGGCACGCACCACGGAAGGGGTCCCCGGGCTGGCGGCACCCAGAAATGCCCACTGGCAGTGCAGCGTTTGGAACACATTCACTGCGCAGCTCAGTCTCCGTGGTAAAAAGCCAGCAGAGCCTGGGACGGGGGCAGCTGGGGAGCCAGGGCGGGGGCGGTGGGGGGGCCCTGCGTTCGAACCACCCAAACTGAGGAACTATCGAAGTTGTTCTCACACTAGTAAACTGGCTGTGTACGCACTGAATTTAACCTGGCCAACTTTTAGAGGAACAACACGTGAGTCCCTGGGAATTCTGATTCTTCCCCAACAGCGACAGACCCCGACCGGGGCCGGTGACTGTTACAGTCAGACCCATGACCCGGGACACACGGGCCAGCACCCCACGCCAGATCGCCAGGCCTCTGCCCCCTCCCCCTTGGGCAGACCCTGACCCACGAGGCTGCGGGAAAACAGGCCACGGCGACTCACCCACAGGAAGCCCTGGGCCGCGGCGGTGGCATCTGGCCGGCCCACACGAGCCTGGCTGGGCTCAGGGTTGTAGGCAGCACATTCGATCTGAGGGGACGAGAAGGGACCGGCCACGTGACACTGGGACTAGGAGGCGTCCCAGGATGTCATGGGCTAAACAAGTGACGGGGTCTGACCTTAGGGTCCCTGCTCACCCAACATCAGAACGGAAAAGCCAAGGTGCGAGTCTCAAACGTTTAGGAGCAGACACCTGAGGGAGCCGCTTCAGCCTCTGGGGCGCACCTTCGGGCCGCGTAGCCCCCCTCCCCTCCCGCCCCCACCTCGGGAGGGACCCCCCACCCCCCCGCAGACCAGAGCGAGAAACGAGGCCTCGCTCGTCTCTTATAGGCACATCGCACGCCCCAGGCCACGCTGGAGGCCGCGAACAGACCACCACCCTGGAGAGAGCACACACTCCAGGCCACACGAGGCCTCCGCCCAGGGCCCGCCCCACACGGCCGCACACGGCGGCACGCGCCCCGCACGTGCCCCACGCGCTATGAGCCGCGGACCCCGCGTGGTTTCCAGCCAAAGGCCCCGGCGCAGGAGGACCCCGCCGCCCGCTGTCACTCACTTGCCCGGCGGGACGAGGACCCCCCGCCCGTCACCTTGAACTCCTGCTGCTTGGCCACCGTCACCGGCATGTGTCCCACGAGGAGCGGGTGTCTCTCCTTTTTGATCTGGTTCCCGTCGTCTTCGACGCAGAACCAGCCCATGTGGTTATCCTCCTCTGCCCGCGCGGGGGAGGGAGCGGGGTCAGCGGCGACGGGCAGGCGACTCGGCTCTGCGGGGAGGGGCCGGAGCGCTGCCCCCCTCCCCCCAGGGCGGCCGCGGGAGCGGCGGCGTTTAGCCCTGACCTGCTGCGGGAACGCCCAGGGCTGCTTTTTATCGTTTATTTACTTATTTTTTAGAGCAATGGAGAGAGACGTTTAAGTTCAGAGACGCGGAGGGCAGCTTTCTAACACGGTGAGCTGTCGCCCCCGCAGCGAGCGGCCCCTCAGCCGTGGGCACGGAGCCCGTGCCCAGAGGACGCGGCTTATTTTCAGGCTCGACGCGCTCTCCTCAGAGCGCGGCCGCCCCGCCCCGCCTGCCGAGCCGCCTGCCCCTGGCGGTCCAGCCTGGAACCGGTCGTGGGGAGGAAGGGGGCGCGGGCGGCCCCCCGCGGGCACGGCTCCCGCGGCCCCTGCTGTCCCGAGCTCTGTTCTCAGGTCGCAGCCTGTCGTCAGGGATGTGAGCCTGCGCACCTGGGAGCACGCACACACGTGCACACACGCACACCGAGCGTCCTGAGTACCAGCTCCGTGAGTACACGTTACGGAAGTGCGCACGTCAGTGCACATCAACACGCGCCAGCGTGACTGACGTGGACACGTGTTTGCAGAGACAGGGCCGCCGCGCGTGGGGGCAGGACTGGAACGCCGAAGCGCCCCCATCGTGCAGGAGGGGCCTCCGCCAGCCCCACCCGCGTCCCGGCTCCCGGGCGAGCGGGCGGCAGAGGCCGAGACGGGGCCTGGCTCTCCTGCCGGCACAGCCCCGGCGGACGCGGGTGTTTCCCCCAACGACGGGGACGGCGTCCCTCCGCGCCCCTAAGTCCTCGCAGACGCGCCCGGCCGGCCCCCCGTGCTGGGACCGCGCTCCGTTTGAAAGCGTCCTCGCGGCCGAGGGCCCCCCTGCCAGTTCACCTCCCCAGCACGACGTCGTGCCCTGGGGCACACGGTCCCTCCCGACACAGGGTCCCCGCGGGGCCCGGGCAGCACGCCCCGCCCTGCTGGAACGGACGCCTGCCCTCGGGATGCACGCGGCTCTTACCGAGGGCGAGCTTGGCCAGCTGCAGGCTGCTCAGCCAGGACTCCTTGGCGGCCGGCGTGAAGGTGCTGAACACGGCGGTGAAGAAGGTGGGCCGCCCCGACCTGCCGGGAGGGACGGAGCGTCGGTCACAGGGCCTCCCCTCCGCCCGTCCCAAGCCGTCCACGGTCTGCAGCCACTGCCAACCCCCCGCTCCTGGGCAGTGCGGGAGGCTGGGCACGTACTTGTCCTGCTTGCCCGGCAGCTGCAGCTGCAGCCGGCAGCAGTCGGCGGCGCGGATCTCCTCCTCCTTCTGCAGGATGAGCCGCTGCAGCCCCGCCGTCCAGTCGTGGGCCACGGCCTGGTTCAAGTTCTGCGGGGCCAACAGGCAGTGCGTGGGGGCGGGGGCGGCGGTCACAAGGGAAACCCGAGTCTGAGGGGGGGAGAGGGAAACCCAGGGGGCCGGGCCGCACGGTCGCACCCGTCCAGGGCAGGACGCACAGCCGGTCGGGGCCGGGTGTCACCCCGCACGCGGGGCTGGCAACGGGTCCGCGGCAGGACGGGAACGCGGTGCCGGAGGCGGCAGCTACCTGGTAGTGCCCCTTCAGGTCCCCGACGAGCTGCGCGATCTGGCCGACCACGTTGAGGTCGTGCAGCAGGTTCTGCAGGTCCTGGTAGAGCTGCCCGGGCCCCACGTAGACCTTGTCTGCGAGCAAGCAACCGAGGCGCCCGCCTGAGGCCGAGGCCGCGCCGAGGCCGCGCCCAGGCCGGCGCACCCGGGAAGGCGGCGGCTTGACACTAATCTCTGGGGAATCTCCACGTTTTAAAAAGTAAGTATTTTTGAGCATTTAGAAATTTTAACTTTGGTAACTTTTTAGTTTGAGATAATCATAGACACACAGAAACGTTGCAGAAACAGCAGAGTCCCTCCCGTGTGCCCCTCCCCCACCCGGGGTTGGACCCTGAGGAACCACAGCAGCCCCGTCAGCGCGGGGGCACCGGTCGGCACGCAGGCCTGCGGGGTCGCTTTCCCGGCCCCGGTCCGGTCGGGGCCCCTCGGCCGCAGCGGCGGGTCCTCCCCCGAGACGCCCCCACTCGCAGGTCGGTGCCGTGGGTGTTCTCCGTCCTCCGTGACCTCGGCGTGGGTGACGGGCGCTGGCGAGTTACGTGTAAGGACGCCTCGCGACCGGGGTGTGCCCGCCGTTTGTCACCGGGAGCGCTGTTTGGACGTTCTGGGTTCCTGGCTGTCAGGAAGAGGTCTCTAGACGTGACGCTCAACCTGAACCGAACTTCCAGCGACGGGGCTCGCCCGGCATCACGACTCCCACGGGGCCTTCTCTCAAGCAAATAAAGGACAACGGTGAAGCCAGGTCGGTGGTGACTTGGGGGCTGCGAAGCCCCCAGTGGGGACGGCCGGCCCTGGCCCGGGGCTACGGCACCGCCTGCGTCCGCGCCCGCAGGGCCCGGCAGCAGGTACAGGCGGGGCCTGAGCACAGAGCCGCACGGGGCGGGGGGGGGCAGCCCCTCAGGCCGAATCGAGTCACCGCTTCCTGGGCCGTGTCTGTGCCGGCCGGGGCGGGGCCTGCGACCTGAGTGCCACACGTGGCGCAAGCCGTTCATCACGCGCTGGGCTCGCTGAGCTGCTTGTCATCAAACTAAAGGCAGCGACGTGTGGTCAGCTACACATTTTACATTGTAAACATACGGCGAAGAAACCGGAGTAGCTTGCAGCCGCCTGGTGGTCCAGGGCGCAGCCGGGCACACCCTAAAACTCTCACAACTGTGACCGGGACCTGTGCTTCGCTCTATGGCCGGTCCCGCCCTCGGTGCGGGGAGTATGTACGAGTTAAAGCGCACAGGAAACGCAAAGATACGTGCGTGCCCAGCATGAGTGCTTCAGGTCCCCGAGTGCCTGAAGACACTCCATGCTGAGCTGCAGAGTAGGAACCATCTACGATTTGCCGGCACCGCGTGTTAAAGGCAATTCCGCGGCCACGGACACGCAGCAGGCCTGACTCTCATTTCCAACCTGGGCGAGCTCTGCGGCAGCTACACCGCAGGTGTTTTCACAAAGCTTCACAGAAGAGGGAGAAAAGCTCTTGCGACGATCACAGAACTTCACCTTTCCTTTACTGTACGTAGCCACCGTGCAAACGGAAGCTTTGGTCGGAGTGGCCTCGAGCCACGAGTCACAGCCGCCCTGCTCCTGAGTGACGTTCCTTGTCCTTGGGCCACCGCCCACTTTGGCAGGTGCCTCCTGGTTCTGTGTCACTGGCCTGTCTCCACGGACATCCCTGCCGTCGAAGGGAAGATGCAGGTTGCCGGCTGCGGGGGTCCAGGTGGCAGACGCGAACAGCCGTGTCCCAGGGCCCTGCCGAGTCACAGGACGTGCTCGGCGGACGGACTCCAGGAGGCGATCGCGTCCTGGGGCGAGGGGCCGGTGCCAGGCTGCTGAACGTCCGCCCGTGTCTTGCCTGGCCGGAGGGGCGGGCTCCCCCTCGAACTGAAAGCCGCTCCACCTCTGCAGTGCGTCGCTGGACAGTGGCCTTCCTTGTCCCCAGCGTCCCTGTCCCTCCCTTCACGGCCAGGGTGCAGCGATCTGGGCACCTCCAGTGGCTTTGGCCTGCCGTGGGGGCGGGAGGCGGCCCCACCTGCCGCGAGGTCTGGCTGCCCGCCCACTCTGCGCACCACCCACCCCAGAGCCGCCGCCCTCGCCGGGAAGTGCCGGGCCCCAGGCGCCCAAGACGCACACCAGCCCCTCTGGCGCCGCGACGTGAGACGCCAACCACTGCTACAGGGAACGAGGCCGGGGCTGCGGGGACCGGCGCGTCCTCCTCACGACGGAAGGACACGTGTTCTCGCCTCGAGACCCTCTCTGAGCACCAGGCAGCTCCTGGAACGTCGCGACCAGTTGCCAAATCCCACGCGTTGGCACCTGCTCGGCCCGACCGCACACGTTCCGCTCGGGCCGGTTCTGGGCACAGCGACAACGGCCCCTCAGGCTGTTTCAGGGTTCGGGGGGCTGGTTCCCAGACCCCACCCTTGGGTTCAGGCTCCAGGGCGGGTCCCCGCTCATGCCCGAGGGCCCCTGCGGAGCCAGCGCTGGGCGCCCGGCCCCCACCCATGCTCCCCAGCGCCTGTGAGCAGGGCCAGCAGCCGGGAGGGCGCCGGGGTCCTGCGCGGAGACGGCCGGGGTCGGGGGGCCGACGCCTCGTTCGCGGGGGGACACGGGGATGGACGTCTCGTTGTCCCCGCACCGGCCTGTCCCCAGCCGGGGCGCCTCGCGAGGCGGGACAGGCAGCCCCCGGTGCTGGGTGGCTGGCGGGCGCTGTCACCCTCACGGTCTCCACCTGGACGGGACCCCCTGCCCCAGGGCACCACGCGAGTGCGGCGGCGGCGGCGTCACTTACGCGGCTTTGCGGTGGCCACCACGGCCAGGCTCTCGGGCGGGTGCTCGGCCGGGCCCTCGGCGCTGCCGTACTCCACGACCGCGGTGCGGCCCAGCGGCACACTCCACTTCAGCAGCTGCCTCTGGCCGGCCGAGAGGAGCGCGTGGCCGTCGTGCGGGGCGCTGCAACGGACAACCACGGCCGCGGCGTCAGGGCGCGGACTCGTCCCCCACCCCCCTCCCGTGGGGACCCGGTGGCTGCGGTCACCACGCCTCTCGCTGTCCTTGCGACGCGGCCGCCGGCTGCACGAGGAGGCCCCCAGTTAGAGGAGGGAGCCGGGGGGGGTCTGTCCACCGCCTGTTCTGGAGAGCGCGGGAGGCGTGCTGGGAGGCCCCTCCCCCCAGAGCCGCGGGCCACAGGCCGGCCGCCGCCGGGGCTGTCAGAGCAGACGCCCCACGTTCGGGACCCTCCAGCAACCGCGCACTCCCCCGGCGCGGCCGGCGCCAGTCTCGGGGCCGACTCCGAGGTTTCCCCTTTACTCTGCTGCCCAGCGCAACCCTCACGATGCAACCAAGTCTTTCCACGACTAAAATACGTACGGGGCGCGTAGGAGTGGAATGAAAACAGCCCCGCGACCCGGGAACCCCCACTGTCGCCTCTGTCGCACGTGCAGCACACGCGCAGGGCAACATGAGACACGTCGGGGGGTCAGGCGGGGCCGCTGGGGCGAGGGCTACCCCACCCGACTTTGCACGACCAAGACGCCCTGCGTTTCTTCACGGTATGTGTGCACATTCCCCTCAAATCGCAGGAGAAACAGCCAGTGCGCCGGGTGCCACCCCTCACACCAAGTGCCCGGCTCCCTGGGAGCCGCTGGCGCCGGCCATCACACACCCTGAGGTCCCCGGGCTCAGCCCCAGGGTCACTCCAGGCCACGCGGAAGCAGAGAGGCGACGGCTCCACGCAGACACGGAGCCCCAGCAGCGCAGGCTGCGTGTGAATGTGCGTGTTTGTATTCAGACACAGAGCTGCCCGCAGACACGGCTCCTCCTCCTGCATGATCAGAGGGCCTCGCGCCGGGGGCTGCGGGGGCCCCGCGTCCTCCCAGGCTGGACGGCCATCTTTACAAAGTCCCGGGAAGGGGGCGCTGGGACCCAGCTCTCAGAAGAGAGGCCCGGCTGCTCAGGGTGGCCGGCCGCCATCACGGGACGTCACGGCAGGCGGCCGGGTCAGGTCCGCGTGGGAGCAGGTGAGCCAGGGCGTTCTCGGTGGCGAACGCCTACCTGCCAGCTCTCCCCGGGAGCGCGGGGCACGCTCCCCACGGCCCAGCGCCCGGTGCCCAGCGCTCCTGGAGGCGGAGTGGGCCCTCGCCGCCTGGGACAGCACCCCAGCAGGCTTTCGGGTTCACTTCTATCCAACCCCCTACGTCTGCAGACTTCACTCAGTGTCCCTCACCGGGGACAGCCGCCCCACGAGCCAGAGGGGCTCAGATGGAAAACCGCGTCGAGTTCAAGGACTGCCCAAGGGCACACGCTCGCTTCCTGGTTCCCACGGACGGGAACGCGCGCGATTTGATTCCCTAAGAAGCACAGCCCCCGGGGAGCAGCCAAGGAGAGAGACCCGGGCGAGGACACAGCGAGTGCAGGGGGCTGAGGGGCGATCGGGAGCCCCCTGACATGCACGGAGAGATCGCCCGACGCCCCGAGTTCCCACCGGCGCGGACGGGGCTCCCAACGAGCCCGCACGCTTCCCCGCGGGGGCCGCCCGGTTCCCGCCTCTGCCGCCCGGGGACTTGGGCTGAGCGAGGGCCCAGCCGAGGCGCCGACCGGGGGCAGAGCCGCGTCCTTACCGGGCACTGACCGTGACGCACATGAGCACGTCGTTCAGCATGAGCAGCCGCCGCTCTTTGGTCTTGGTGACCTCGCCCCGGTCGTTGTACACGGTCTCTATCACGTCGTCGGATCGGATGAGGTAGCGGCTGCCACTGCTGAGGAGCTGCAGGGAGGACACGGCCACCACGGTGCGTCCCTCGCGTGCGCGAGCGCGGGCGAGCAAAGCGCGCAGTGTCCCGGGCTCCCGGCACCCGTCCCGCAAGCACTGGGAGCTTGGGCAGCGGCCGGTCGCAGCCGAAAGCGTTCCAGACACGGTTTCGATGCATCCAAGCACCGGGGGGGGGTGGGGGCCTCACTCCCTGAGCCGCACCTCTGAGGCTGACCGCAGGCGGGGGCGGAGCAAACCTCCCCCACGGAGCCCCAAACACCCTCGGCTCTCTGGAGAGGCGCCCCCGTGCTCGTCAGATAAACGACGGGCCGCGGAGACGTCCGACTTATTAGCACAGGCCGGCCCCCTAGGAAGCCCTCTGCTTGCCCGCGCTGGCGGCCGCCCCGGCCTCCCCGAGTGCGCCCCCCGCCCGCCGGGGCCCGGGCGCCCTGTGCCGCGTGGCTCCCCGACCCGCGGGGACGGCGGGGAGGCACGGGCCGCACCGCGGGCGCTGCCGCTGGATGCGGGCGTCTGCGTACATCCCTACGGGAACCGTCACTGCATTACAACCAGCCTCTCACGGTAAGTTACTGAACGTCACTGCCTGGGAGGGAACGGACCCTGCTGACAAACACCAAAGCGGTGCGAGCACCCACGTAACCACGTAACACAGCTCACGCACATCGACCTCCTCCCGTGGGCCAGGGAGGAGGACAGGAAAGCGACACCCAGCCAGACTACGGCCGCCGAGAAATGGCTCTGTGAACGCGCAGCCGGAACCCAGCTTCGCAAAGGGCCTGCTTTCATCCTGGCTCCTGCGCGGCTTCGCTTAGTTCGTGCACAGTGAATAAAAAGTTTTAAATACACATAATGCTTTACTTATGAGCATCGAAAAGGAAACCCTGCATTTGGAAGCACAATTCAGCGGAAAGAGCTGCTCTCAGCCCTTTTGGGGGTCCTGGGTCCACCTGAGACCTGGTGGCCCCGCAAACCCCTCTTCTGGGGAAGGCACAGGCTGTGGAGCGGAAGCCGTGCTCGCTGCCGGGACCTGCCGGACGCTCCATGGGCCCCGGGGGCGCCTGGGCCACGGAGCTGCCGTCCGCCCGTCCCAGAGGCTCGTGAGCGGCGGCCGCAGTGGGCGGTAGCTCGTTAGTGACAGGGGAAGCAATCCCAGCGTGGAGGGGACGCGCCCGCCCACCTTGCTCAGGCGCCGCTCGTTGACGGCTTTCGCGACCTGTCTGGCCTCACAGCGCTGATCGGCTTCCCTCTTCCTCTCGTCCAGTTTCTCCGCCAGCGTCTCGAGCTCCGTCAGCGCCATCTGCAGGGGCAGCCTGTCGGGGTGTCCGGGGGGCGTGTTCCTCAGCATGTCCTTTCAGAGACACGGGGCGGGAGGGGCGGTGACCGCCGTGCGGGGCAGGGGCCGGCAGCCCAGGGGGACAACGGCTCAGCTGCTCTCGGGGAGGAATTTGGAAAACACTCGGGAGGGACACCAACTAAGTAGAACACGACTCGGCAGACACGTCAGCGGCTCCTCCTGCACAAGCAAAGCTAACTGCTTAAACGGCACGGCTCTCGGGGTCCCCAGGCCGGGAGGGACCAGGCCCCGCTGGCAGGCGTTAGGTCAGGCCCTTCCCACTGACTCTGAAGCCTGAAGGGGGAGCCGCCCCCAGCCGTGGGCCTGGTCCCCGTGGCCGCACCCCCGCGCCCCCGGCGCCCTGAGCGGCTCTCCTGTAAAAGCCCGGCCTTGGCTGTGCCCCAGGGCAGCTCCGGGCAGAGCCCTGAACCCGTTGGGGTTGGTTTCTCAGCGACGGGGGAGGGCCCCTTCCAAGCACAACCGAGTTCATGCCGATGCAGCGACTCTGGAAAGGGCAGGCGGCCAGGGGGTTGGGGGCGTCCAGGGAAGGGAGCCGATGGGGGTGGGGTGACCGAGGCGACCGCCGGCAGCCAGCGCCGTACACCGTACGCGGCCCCACGGTGGAGCCCCACACTGACCCACAGGAAGGGCCCGGCAAGGCCTGGGGCCGGGGCCGCGCAGGCGCGGAGATCGGGGTGGGGGGAGCACCCGCAGCTGCAGGCCCGGCCCACTCCCCGCCCGCCTGGCCGGCGGCCCCGCGTGGCAGCCGTGGTAACGACCGGTGCAGGCCGGTGCCCTCCTGAGCTCCGGGAGCCCTTCCAGCCATTCCCGGGCCTGAGGAGGGCGTGCGAGCCCCAGCGTGGCGGCCGCACGAGCAGAACTGGCTGACCCGGGACCCGGCCGGCGCGGGGCCGCGGTACCTGGAGCAGCAGGATGAACTGCGGGAACCTCTGGATGGGCCTCGTCATCAGGCTGCAGAGCGTGACGCGGTCCGGACTGGACTCCTGAGCCTGCTGCGGGGAGAGGGGGGCCGCACTCACCTCCAGGCGGCGCGTGGCAACCCCTGGCCGTCCACGCCCACGGCCGGCCGCCCAGGGCCCCGCGCCCCCCGCCCTCCCGCTGCAGACGTGTCCCCGCCTCGGGAGCCCTCAGGCCCACCCCGCCCCCGGGGCCACAGCGACTGGGGCGGCTTCTGAGCCTTGTTTGAAGGGCACTTCTGACTGTTGGCAGCGTCTGTCCTTTTATGGGTTAATTCCACAAAAGGACTGACTTCCTTTCTGAGAGTCGACAACCACAGGAACCAAAACCAGAAAAGAAAAGGGGAAGCGCTGCCCAGGACCCCGGTCGGTCGCAGCTGCGGGGCCGGGAGGCAGCTCCGCCTGCTGCCCCCACCCCGCCGCACAGTTCGCTTTGAGACCCGGCCTTGACCTTGGGACGGGCTGGCCAGCCACTTTAAGCGTCTACAAATAAAGGTCCTCCCTGAAGCTGCGTACCCCGAAAACTCACCGTTGTTCCTAGCGCTGACCCCCCACCCAGGGCACTGCTGGCGCTCAGGTCTTTGTAACAAACGAGACTCCGCGTGGAGACGTCGGGCCGCGTGAACCCTCCTTCTCCAGCATGGCGTACAAACCCACCGTGGAAAGGAAAAAAGCGGCTCACCTTCAAAAATTCCAGGAACGCGGGCTTCGCGGTGCACGTTTTCTTGAGGACGGCCATGGCGGCGCTGAAGTTGTTCACGTACTCGCTGTAGGCGTCCAGCACCATGGACTTAGAAAACTACAAGGCAGGGGAAAAGGAGACGGGTGAGCGGCGCCGAGTCCCCGCGGGCCCTCCCGACGCAGCGCAGCCTCCGTCGCCGCGACGCTGCCCGAGGTCACCAGGCTTCAGCACGACTGCGCGGGACGTCCGGAGCGACCCCGTTAGGCGTTGAGTGGCGGTGACCTTGCTCTGCGGGACCCCAGCGCCCGACAGGCATCCTGGCTAGACCGCGGCAGCCTGGGCGCGCCAAGGGCGACCGCGACTCCCTTCCCCGCATCCCCGCCGGCCTGCGCCCCCCCCCCCTCCCCGCGAGCCCCTCCGGGACAGCAGGCCCCACGGGGCAGCGCCCACACAGCGGCCGACTCCCTGGGGACGCCCGGGGCCGGGGGCGTGGCTCCCTCACCGAAGCCACGAAGACGTCGCCGATGGTCTCCACGGCGTCCCACTCGGCCACGCGGCTCGCCAGCGCCATCTGGAACAGGCGGTGGCACTGCAGCAGCTCCCGCAGGCGGTGGAACACCACCTTCAGCTTCCGGTCGCTCAGCATCCGCGGCTCCATCTCCGCCAGCGGCCGCTCGTACTGCTGGCGGGGGCGGGCAGAGACAGGAGCTGGGGGCGCCGGCTGTGCCGGCCGGGGTCACTCGCCACAGCGCCCGGCTTACACTTCGGATTGGACACATCGGCCGCGCCTGCCCGTGGAGGGGGGCCGTTTCATCAGACTCCACTGTTCTGTTTTCCAGAACATTTTTTCAGCAAATGTGTCAGATTTAAAGGCAAAAATAAAAGAGCCATCGGTAAGCAAGGGTTGCCTGTGAGTGGCCACGGGGCCTCCCCGGTTTGGACCGGCAAGGACAGCAGCCCAGGGAGCAGGCCCCGCCGCGCGGAAGGCTTTCTGGAAGTGCCCCCGGTGGCCAGGTCCCCGCGGGGAGCAGCCCCCTTCCCGGACACCCACAGCGTCGGGTTGCCTGTGCCTGAACTTCTCCTGCCGACTTTTCCCTGATATCACTTCATGTGTGATGTGACTATGCAGGCACAATGTTTAAATTCCTTTGAGAATCCTGCAAATTTGAGCATTTTACGATTCGTATGTCTAACTACACGCGTGGCCCAGACACACAGAGGAAGGAAAGGCCGATCAGATGTGCGCGGGGCCCGCGCGCGACGTGCGGGTACCTCCAGGATCCGCGTGAGGGCGTCCACGTAGCTCTTCTCGCTGTCGACAATGGAGCTCAGGATGCACCTTCTCACCACCTGCCGGGGATTGGACACAGCGGCCGGGCCACCGGTCAGCCGGGCCGCCTCGCTCCCGCGTGGGGCTTGCTGACAAGAAGCTCCCTGGGCTGTGTCCCCAGGCACAGAGCCCACGTCCCCACTGCTCCAGCCCTGTGCGTTCTTAAACCCGCCTCCAAACGGCCACAGCCGCAGGCCACGAGAATCCACCGCACCCCTAACAGACGCGTTGGCCAACGCAACAGTGACAGGCCGGACTAACCGCCGTGTGCGCGCCCCACGCTGAACTCCACGCTTCGTGTGTACACAAGCATGAAAAACGGCCCATCTGCACTCAAACAACGTGCTACAGGAAACACTTGTCTAATAAAGCCACTGCTCCAGAACTGGAGGGAAGCAAAGGCTCTTGGAAGGGGGAGCACACGTTTTTTTGCGAAGACCTCTGACACGCACAGAACCCCCACTCTGGGTGGGGGGGGGCCCACAGCGAGCGAGTTCCTGATGTCGCTTCCAGGCGCCGGGCTCGCTGCGGCCTGGGACGCTGGCCTTCTCCACGCTGACGTCATTTTTGGGCTCCGTGTTCCCCGCGGAACTGCGCGAGGCACACATTTCTGGCCGCAAGGGGCCCCTTAGAGGCCAGCAGTGACATGCGGCACCATGATCAATTCTAAACGGCTTGGCGAGTCAATTGTGCCAATAAATGGGAACTAGAACATGACGTCACAATCGGGCTGGCTCTCCACCACACGCACGCACGCCCCAGCAGGGCTCCCCCGGCCGCCTCGCCCCTCGCAGTGGCCTGGCGCCACCTAGTGGCAGGGGAAGCACCTCCCAGGAACCACCGTTGACCAGGCTATGTGTGTTTTCTTCACTCAAGTCACAGAGTAAGAACAAAAGCAACCCCCTGAACACCTACGGAAGAAAGGGGCGCACTTTACACAGGACTCCGCCTCCGTCCGCTGGGCACCGACAGCCAAGCACACCAGCCTCTCCCGGCAGCCCTGCACCCGCGCCACCCTGCCTGGCGGCGGGCAGAGACGTGCGCCCGGGGCGGGAGCGACCCCGGGCCGAGCCACTGCCCACACTGGCAGAGGTCAACTCGAGGCCAGCCCTTCCCCAGAACTCAGACCCCCAGCCGCTACCCCAGGTCTGCGCTGAGACTGTCTGGGGTCTGCCCTAGGAATCACGTCTATTGTTTCAAGTCCTGGGATAACACTGACGAGCTGGGTCGAGGGCCTGAAACGGGCACAACGCAGTTTAGAACAAACACAGAAATGGAGCCGAAGGAACTTCGCACACAGGGTCTCCTGGTACAACCGCCCGCCACGTGCCCTAGTGCCATTACGGCTCCCGGGGAGGCTGACGCTTCTCCAGTGACGCTGCAGGGAGGTGCGCCCCGGGGCCGAGGCCCTCGCGGGGTTAACCCTTCCCCTGCTGGGCGGGTGTGGGAGCCCTGGGTGGGACGGCAGGGAGTCCCCAGCCAGCCAGCGAGCAGGAGCACGCGGACGAGGCGCAGCCCCAGGACCCGCCCACTGTCCTACCTGCTGCTGGGACAGGCCTTCGGGCATCGGGGTCAGGACGGCCTCCGGGTGCCGGCAGTCCACGTCGATGAACAGGCTCTGCTCCTCCTCCAGGTCAGGGCCGCGATCTGAGCAACGGGGGGTGCTCTGGTCTGACACGGAGGCCACGCGCCCCGACGTTGCCGCCGCGCCTGCTGCAGGGTTCCGAGTCCCCCGCTGGGGCGGCAGCGGACACGCGACTCCTGCCCACCCGGGAAAACACCCTTCCCACCCGCACGGCGCACTGGCCGGTTTCTGGAATTTTCAACACTTGAAGTTTCACTTCAAAGGGCAGGGGTGTCATTTGAACATCTAAATGGGAAAGAAGGGGCGATCGCTTCCAATTTCCGTCATCTCTGCCTATCACAGCCGGGAACCAAGAAAGGCCGCGAAGCCAGCCGGCCGGCCCTCCCGGTCAGTGACCCTCAGGACATCCTGCATCTCCCAACTGACCCACTGCACGTCTGAAAAGGCACACGCTCCCCCAATCAGAAAGTTCAGACCAAGACCAACTGCATAAGCTAACGGTTCCCCAGAAAAGCCTGCAAACCCGAAAAGCCCAGGACGCAGGGCTGCACCCCCCCCCCACAGCGGCGAGCGGGATCCCGCCGGTGCAGGGGCCGGAGCTGCCCACCCGCGGGGCCGCCTGCGTGGGGCCGGCACAGCCGCGGACCTTGGGAGATGAAGGACTTGGTCCTGATGAAGGAGCGGCCCCTCTTCACCGCGGCCTTGGTCTTCTCCAGCCCGTCCCTGGTGCCCTCCTTCGCCGCCTTCACGAGCTTCTGCATCTGGGGGCGCAAGGACGTGAGGTTATCGGTGAGGCCGCACCGGCCCGGGCGCAGGACGCTGTCACGGGGCGCGGCCTGCAAAGCCCCCCGAACCTGGCCGCTTGGTCAGGGAGCCCCCCTGGCTGCTGACTGCATGCGTGTGTCTTGGGGTTTTTTGTTTGTTTGTTTTTTTTTAAAGGGGGAACAAACTTTAACCGCAGAGCCCTCCCCTGACAGGGTTACAAAAGTCCCTGCGACGTTCACAATTCAGTCCTTCTTTTTATCAGAGTCAGTGACACACAGAGACAGCTCTGCAGACGTGCAGGGGAGAGACGGAAGCCCACAGGTGAGAAGCGGCACATCCGGGAAAGGGCAGGCGGCCACCTGCCACCCCTGCCCCGCCCCCGCCCCGGCGCCCACTGGAGCACCAGGGCAGAGCTCAGCGGCTGGAGACAGACAGAGGGACAGCGGAGGGGAGCAGGGCCAGACAGCCACCATCCTCGGGGGCCTTCTGCGTCACCAGGCCCCCTCCCCACGGCCGCGGAGTTTGCTGACCGCCTTCCCCGCGAGCCAGTCCCAGGCTGGCCGCCGGCCTCGGGCCACTTCTGGGCCTGTACACACCTAACGCCGGAGGCACCAGAGGACGCGCGGGCGGCCTCCGTCACGGGCAGACCCGGCTCCCCCAGGTGCCCGGCAGGCCCCGCGGTGGGTGCGCCGCGCCCTGCCCCGGCCTGAGCCTGTGGGTCACGTGCGGGTTCGGGGGCGCAGCGCGCTCCCCGTCGCCCCGAGGGGCAGCTTCTGCATGACATCACACACTGTGCGCCCCAGGCCGCTCCCCCCGGCAGGCCCTTGACTGTCCTCGCCTCAGGCGCCGCCCCAGAAATGCTCCCCAAGACGGCGCTCGACCTACTGAAACCAATCAGCTCCCAATGGGACCCCCACATCTGTCAACCCCGGGGCCCCCAGCACGGCCTCCTCACGCCGCGGGGCCCCCGGGACGCCTGCATCCCAGCAGCCCTTCGGCCCGACTCCCAGAGCCCCACGACGGACCAGGACGGACGCGGCCCTGCAACCCGACCCCCAGCGCCGCGCCGCCCCCCGCCCCCGCCTGCCCCTTGACCCCAGACCTGGCGGCCGTGCCTCGTCCTCATCCTGACCCATCCCGCTCCCTCCAAGGAGAATCAAGGACAGGCAGCCTGAGGACCCCCGACCAGAAGGGACGGAGACCCTGATTCACGCGCTTCGCTCCTGCCCTGAGGCCGGAGCTCAGAGGCCCTCTGGCCCTAGGCAGCGGGGGCGGGGCCCCCTGCGGAGCCAGTCTCCAGGGTGGCGACCCCCCGCCCGCGTGCACACGTCGCAGCGCCAGGCGAAGGAGAGGCCGGACGACAGGGCGCGTCGCTGGGCAGGGGCTGTTTAAAACGCACCCCCGGGGCTGCCGGCCACCACGCCCACTCGGTCTCAGACCCGCTTTCGACCCGGGAAAATGGCCTCATTTCCCAGTGTTTACTGCACGATGAGTGAACGCGGAGAAAGCCCTGAGAACCTGTCGTTAACGTTCACGGAAAGGGAATCACGAACCTACTGACGTTATCTTAGCTGGCGCACTCATGAAAAACTACAGGGTCTCCCCGAACAAACACACCGGCTGGCGTCCTCTGCATCTCTGGCTCCCTCTCCCATGTCTGGGTCGCAGGCAGCTGGACTCCGCCCTGGATGGACTGGGAAGCCACATGGCATGGAGCCTCTGGAACATTCCTCTGCTCAGGAGTGCGAGAAGCAGAGGAGGAAAGGCCAGTCGCGTCTCAGAACGGCCAGGAAGCTGCTGGCAGTGTCGGGGTGACGCCGGGAGCCCCCGGACCAACTCTGGGAGCTCTAGGTCCAGGAGAAGTGCCACACGGCTCCCGGGGTATCTGCTCTGAACGGGCGTCGTCAGCGAAACGGTGGGGGCGGGGGGCCCACTCTACCGCCAGCTCCAGCTTCTGCTTTAGCTGCTGAATCTCTCCCGTGCCCACTGTGCTGGCCACCAACTCTCCCATCTTCCCCTCCCAGTGCTCCTTGAACCGGGCCAGGTCGTAGGACAGCTGCAGCACACGGGGGCGATCTTCTCACAAACACGCGCCGGTGGGCACTTCCGACAATCCGACACTGCAAGGGCCTTGGCGGCCCCGGGCGCCTGGCCGTGGGCTCCTGGGAGCCACACCTGGAGCCCCCTTTCCAGCCCACCTCCTGTGGGAAGTGAACACGAGTGAGAAAACCAGCCGCAAAGGGCAGGCACGACTTCGGGGGAGCCAGACAGGACACTTCTCTGTGGCCAACGAGTGCAAATACAGAAAAGAACCTGTGCCCCTCGTTCCCTTACACTGTGATTAAATTAAAAGGACCGACTACGTAAAACAGGTAGGAAACTGTTCCTGTGTGCCCTCACCACGGCCCGAAACTTGAACTCAGGACCGCGCCGGGGTCGGCACCACTGGGGGCAGCCGGCGAGGACCCCGAACAGCCCCCCGGCTGACGTGACATCCTCGGCAGCTGCTGGGACCAAGGACAACCTCACAGACCACGGCTGTGGGGCCCCCATGGCCCAGATGTGCAACAGGCCCCTCTGCTGCGAGAGCAGATGCTCCCCACGCAGGTCAAGGGTGCGGAAGGTAATTTTTGATAAAAAAGTGACGCTATTTCTGAGATGACTCTCTGAGACCATCCGGTGCTATTTCGTAGATTTTACAATCTGATTTCTTCAGCCAGGACACCCGGTACTTCTTACGGCACCTCTGCCTTGAACACTGGGCTCTCCCACCCCTTCCCAGGGCGGTGCCCGGCAGCATGTGCTCCCGGTCATCGGCGAGCTTTGTGCTGGCCTCACGCTGGCTTCCCGCGGTGAGGCCGCTGCACCGGCCCACAGCGCCTGGTCCCCGCGGGTCGGCCGTCGGGACGGCAAGGAGGGTTAGGGTCTGCTCGCTAATCACGCCCACAGGGCTCCCTGGGGCCGGCTCCGACCCAGCCTTGTTCGAACTACAATCGACCAGGCCGACTGAAGACAAAATTGAAGGGTGTTTGGCCCACTCCGCTGAGCTACCCACTGAACGCTCCCTCTTGCTGAAACTGACCCCACAGCATTACTTTCAAATCTCCATTTAAACCCAGAGCACCAGGCCCGGCTGCGCGGAGTCGAGCACTGACTGCACTCACCTGCTCCCCGGCTCGGGGTCGGCGGAGGCGACTCTCGTGACAGAAGGCATCTAAGCTCCTGAGAGAGGCGTGTCATGGCACTGAGCGGTCGGACCGACCACCACAAACGCGCGACTGTTCTTGAGGTTCGTGGAACAAGTTTACGGAATCGGACGGTGCTCACCCACCCCTGACGGCCTGCGCGCACAGACACTGGGAAGCTGCCTCCCCCAGGACACGGGCCTGGGCCCTGGGTACGGGGAGGGCGAAGGTCGCGCACCGATTCTGCCACGCCGGCGCGGCGTTAGGTCGCGGGCTGCACCTGGGGCGCCAGCCTGGCCTGCCCGCCTGCGTGGGCTGCCCCCCACCCTCCCCGGAAGGTACGAGGACTTGGGCACCGCCACGCCCTTCGGAAAACCACCCAAACTCCGCAACGACGGTGTGCGGGGCACGGCCGGTCCCCACTGAGGGCCCGGGGCCTCGTGCAGACCGCCAGCCTCGGTGACAACGGCCGTCCCACCCAGAGCCCCCACCCGCCTCTAGGGTCCTCGCAGGACCTGCAGCTCAGGAGCGTCCCCCGCCCGCCCCCGTTAAGGCGGCTCGTAGCTGCTGGCCTTCCTGTCACTTGAAGGACCGGCCACGCTCAGAAAAGGGCTATTCGCTTTAAGACACTCGAGACAGCCAGCTCCCTGGGGACCCGAGCGGCCCGTTCGCAGCGACGAGGGCCCCCCGCCTGCCCTGACCGCGCTCGCTGTGTGAGGCCGGGCACCTCCCCTCCGACCCGTGTCTTCTGCTTTCCTCAAACTCCACGCCAACGCCTTTAAAACACGCTTCCTTAAATGCCACGGGAAGCAACGCCCCGCGTCGCGGCCCCGGGGGCTGTGCCTGCGGCCGACGCCGCGCTCACCTGCGTCCGGTGGCTGCCGCGCAGGAAGGGCCTGGGGACCCCGTTCTTGCCCTCGCAGTCGCTCTGCTCCTCGTAGCTTTCAAACTCGCTCGAGCTCCACCCGTCCTCCAGGGAGCTGTTCCCGCCATCATCCCCGTCCCCGTTCTCCACGTCGTCGTAAATCATCTCACCTGCAGCGGGGGTGGGCGGGGCCGCCGTGAGACGGACAGCAGGGCCCCCGCGGCGGTTCGCGCGGCTGCCAGTTCACCGCCCGGGCTGGAGCGGCGGAGCCGTCAGACCAGCGGGGGCAGCGGCAGGCCGGGCGCGCGTCAGGTGGGGGCCTGCGGGGGCTGGGGAGGGCTTCGCGAAGCTCTGACGGCCCAGCCCCACCTGCGTCCCAAGGGCCTGGTGCCCCGCAGACACCGCGGCTGCACCCCACAGCCGGTGGGCCATGGAGGACTCTCCACACGGGAAGGTTTTTATTTAGATAAATGTACGGAGCACAAGCACACTGGATGGACGGATGGACGGATGGACAGGTGGGTGGATGAGCAAATGGATGGATGAGCAGGTGGATTCAAACACAAACAGGGAGCAGCTTATTGCAAACAACTATAAACTTTGCTTTTGTGCAAAAAAAAAAAAAAAAAAAAGGCCTAACCAGACTTGTGAATCTGCTGCTGGACTGAAAGGGCTTCACGGCACCAGTCACCGGCGAAGAGCAGGCCAACGCCAGTGACAAAGCCCTCCACAGGGGTCACTCGTGAGGAGGCCCGCAGGTCAGGGCCTGTCTCCCCGGGGCGGGCAGGCAGTGGACGAGTACGTCAGCACCAGCGACGGGCGCCAAGTCCGCAGCAGGTGTTAGGTCCCGGACCTTTACTCGGCCGTGTCCCATCGAGCTCCTGACACCACACGGGCCCGAGTTGTGGCGGACACCGAGAGCAGGTCATGGTTCCCGGCCTGCGGCTGCTCCAGAACACACAGCAAGGGGCAGGGCCTGCTGGTGCCGACAGAGGAACCCTCAGGCTCAGAAGGGCTCCCCGGGGAGGCTGGGGGTGCTGCGCGGGGCTTCCTGGCATTGTTTGGGGGGATCGGCACCAGGCTTCCGGAGACGGGGCTGTGAGCCTGTGCTGATATCCTGGCGTGGGGGATGGGGCTCCGCCTTCCTGTCACGGAGGGGCCGCGTGGGCCCGCAGGCTGTGGTCTGGGGCCGCCGGCGGGTCCGGGAGGGCTGTCTGCTGGCCGGTGCGCCGATCAACGGATTCCACACCTCGAGTCGTTAGGAAGCGTCTCATTTGCTGAGAGTTTTAATTTACCAAAAAAAAAAAAAGCGTGCAGAACCCTGCCTTGGCTGCCCCGGTTTTGACGGACTCCTGCAGTTGCCGCCGGCGGGTCGACCCCCTCGCTGACCCCTCGACCTCCACGGCCCTGCAGGCTCCTCTGCTGGCCAGGCGCCACCCAACAGCGCCTGCAGGCCCCTCGCCAGGGCGCCCTCTGCTGCCCGCCCCCGCGTTCGGGCCGCGCCGCCTGTGTTTCCTGCGTCCGCGTGTTCTGGCTCCGCTCGCCTTCGCGGGCCGAGCTGGTCATTTGTCCATCCTCTCTTCTCAGCGATGCGGCGACCTCTCTGATCCCGTGCCAGTCGGAATCTGCTCCGGGAGCTGTTACGCAACGTTTCCGTTATCATTCACGTCAAAGCGCTTTCCGGCCTCCCCTCCGACGTCACCCTTGGCCGCGAGTTGTGCCGTAGTCTGCCTTTAATTTTCAAATGTTTGGGCTCAGTTTAATCGGTCGGGTTTGCAGCAAGGATGAGGCCTGAAGCCGAATTCTGTGGCATCTGTTAGTATTCGCATTGGGGTGAACCATTACGCAGTTAAGTTTCGGAAGGGCCCCGTGGGCTTGAAAAAGCTGTGCCTCACCTGCCGCCCAGGGCCCTGCACACGCCTGCCGGCCGACCGAGAGCCACGTTCTTCTGCGGTTCCCTAATTTCATGTCCAGGCCCCTAACCGTGAAGACAGTTCTCTAAAGATCTCCTACTCGAATTACGTATTTCTCTACTTCTGATTCTACCTGTCACGTTTTCCTTTATACATTTTAGGCCAGATTGGCAGGGGCACCCGAAGGCGAGCTGTCACTTCTCCCTTGTGGAGGCCTCTAGACCTAGTAACGTTTTCTAGCCTCATATGTTCCGGTCGCACTGGCTGCATTTTGGTTAGAACTGGCTTATCTTCCCTCTTCCACCTGCTTATGCGCAAATGTCCTGTGTCCTTACGTATTCGTAACACACGTCTGGCTTTGCCACATCATCCACCCTGTGAGTTGTGCCCACTGGCAACTGGACTCAATGGACAGCCACTCTTGGGACCACGGTATTCGGACTCTGTGTGCCATAGTTTTTTCATACTGCTCGCCATGCTCTCTCGTTGTGTGTTTCCTCTCTACCAGACCGGGGTTGGCTCTGCCACTTCGGAAGCTGAATAATCTACTTCTGTTCTTCCAGTGAGGCCCCCTGAAGTGCTGCCCTGGCCCATCACATGAAAGTCACACCGGCGCCCTCCCCCTGAAAGACGCACCCCCCGAGGCCCCCAGGGCCAGCCGCTCCGCCCGCTCCACCCGCCACCTCCCGCCACCACCCGCCACCGCCCGCCTGGCTGGGTCCCGCGCCGCGGCGTGCGTGCTCCGTGCGGTCCCAGCGCCGGCTCCCGCTTGCCCACCAACTCGCCATCTCATCTGCTCCCTGTCCCTTCTCGCTTCCCGCTGCATTCAGCACCCTCTTCCTTGAAATACAACAGTAGCCGTTTCCCTAGAGTCTGTCAGCGGAAAATCTCCCCTCTTCATCTTTTTAAATCGTGCTCTGGCTGGGTGTGGAAATCTGGGTGGAAATACCCAAGTTTCCTCCAGCGCGCGGCACACATCCTGCCGCCTCCCAGCGCGGCGGGACGTCTGCTCCTCCTTCCCAACGCCGGTTCCTCTGTGGGCGCCCTGCGTGCTGCCCGGCATGGCCTTCCAGGGCCCCCGTGGGTGACACGGGGTCAGCGGCGTCCACGGCACGGGCCCCGGGACGGACCGGTCCGTGCGCGGCCTGCTCCAAACCTGCACTCGCTATTTCCACAATCTGGGAAATTCTGTCTTTCTTTAATTCTAGAAAATCTTAGTGCTCCTTCCTTCTGTTTTCTCGCTGATTAGACCTTCACGGGTGCTTCTCCAGGTTTCTCACCTTCTCAGTCATACTTTTCATATTTTCAACTCCTCTGCTTCTTTAGGGTCATCCAGACAAGGACCCTCGGTCAGGCATGGGAATATAAACATGCGCCTGTGCGCCCAAGGCACACGGCATCAGCGAGATGCGGCAAAGCACGCGGAACACGCATGTCCCAACACCCCCCCACACCCTGTCCCGCCACGAGACCAAACCTGGCTCCGAGTCGGAATTCTCTCTCGGCACATCATCGTAAACGGCTTCTTCTGGATCTGGAAGGAGAGGAGGGAAAGCTTTCAAAACCCACCAAGACCAGCCGAGTCCACGTTACACACTACAGGGCCACCGTCTCCCGGGACACCGCAGCCAGCCAGCAGCCAGCGGCCAGGCAGTGGGCGGCAGCTCCACAAAGCACAGGGGCCCTTCCGGGCAGGGCGTTTCCCTGGGATTGAAGGAAGGGGCTCTGACGCCGGGAAATATCCCCGACGGGGGTTGTACGGGGCCCGGACAACTTGCCCCGTTGTTTGACATTCAATCGCATCTCTCTACGTGGCTCTTTCACAAACAATGAGTTTACGACACTGATGTGTCCTGACACAGAAAATGCGCCGTGAAAGAGGTCAAGGGACACCCCCGCGCGGCTCAGTGAAGCAGGGACATCCACCGACCAGTGGCTGCGAGGCTTTGTGTCCCGGACACAAAAGGCAGCCACACACGAGTATGAAAACGTCCGCCTTTCGGGACAAAATCCCTCACACAGAGCTACCTGGAGCTCTGGCTTTCTCAGATCGACGCGGGGGCCCGCGCCGCGCTGCACCGGCAGCCGCCGCGGGAGCGGTGGCACAGGCTGGGCGTCGGCTGCGTGTCCGCCGAGGCCCCGGGCTCCCACATCCTCCCCCACGCGAACCGGGAAGGACCCGGGCCCCACAGCCAAGCCACGAAGGAAACGTGGCCAAAGCAGGGCGCTCCCCTTCGGCCTCGGGCGACCGTCACCCCCGTCCCCTGCGCTGCCGGGGGGATGCCCTCAGGTGCGCAGACTCCGACCACGGCAGGAACCTGTGCCCCCGTGGGGTGGGGGGCGGGGCGGGGGGCGCACAGGGCTCCCTGCAGGCACAGTCACTGCAGGGAACTGTCATCGGGCGCCGGAAACGAGCAGGGAGGGGATTCAGCAATTTTACTTGAGAAGTAAAATCGCTAGAGAAGAGCAGGACCATAATTCAACCCTGTAACGACCCTGATTTAACCCCTACCCCCCAGCAGAGTCAGCTAATTACGCTGAGCTCTCCGTGTGACAATGTCACCATTAAAACCAGGACGAAGTCTCCGGGGACAGTCTGCTCATTAGGAGACAGCTAACTGCACGTCAGTCATACAGAACACACAGAAATTAGTGAGCCAGCGTTTCCTAAGAGAGAATTAGCAACGCAGTCTTCACTTTCCCTTTAAAAATTAAAAACAAGTAAATCCAGCTAAAAGCAGCTGCGCTTTCTGGGCCACATGCAGCAGGGGTGGGGGGGCCACACGCCCCTGACAAGGCGCGCGGCGCGCAGGACCGCGGCTTCGTTGGTGTCTCGGGGGCGGCCGCTGCTGGCGGGCGGGGGTCAAGTGGCCGGGGTCAAATGCCGGGTCCCCGGACCTGCAACTGCTCAGCAAACCCGGGATCTGCAGTTGGAAGCGGCAGCCGGCGGAGGGGCACTGGGGGAGACGCGGGGAACCAGCCGGCCGAGCCGGGGCCCTGACCCCCGCGTGGGGCGCGAGGCCAACGGGCAGAGCCTGGCACCGGCAGCGGACGTGGCGGGGCGCGGGCGGGCTGCTTACTCTCCATCCACGCGGTGTTGGCCGGATCTGCCACCCAGCGGGCGAGGGCGCTGTCCTCCGCCGGGGCTTGATCCTCACTGTGGGGAAGCAAACCGTCAGTCACCGCGGCGGCCAGCCCTGTCCCTGGGCCGCCGAGTGCCCCCAAAGGACACAGATGCTCCCACACGTGCCGGATGCGGGTTTTCCCAGACGGGGGAGGGGGCGCCGCAAGGTCAAGGTTTCCTTCTGCCAGGCACACCCGCCGCACTGGGAGGTGCGTGTCTGAGACCCGGTAGCACCCAGCCTTTGTCTTCAGAGAACTTGTGGTCTCATGGCAGAAAGGGACATGGGAAAACCAGCAAGGGCACACAGAAATCAGACAGAGCGCCGCGGTGCACAGGCCCTGGGAGCCCAGGAGGGAAACTTCACGAACACTTCGGCTGGGCCTCGAGGGCTGAGCAGGAGCCGGCCCGGGGCGGGGACTGTCCCGGGCACGTCGAGCAGGGAAGCACCACTGGCAGAGGCAGGGGCCCCCGGGAAGGCCTGCAGTCACCTCAGGTTGGGGTCTCCCAGGCGACACCGGCTCAGACAAAGCTCAAGACGTTTTTTCCACCGGGGGGTTCTGAGCGCCTTCACGCGCTCAGGCGCACACGGCGTCTCCAAGACGGGGCCTGGGATGCTCGTGTCCAGTTTGGTTTGGCCGTGGGGCCATCGCTTGTCCTCACATAGTGACACCAGTGCTCACACAGCCCCGGGGCTCAGGAGGACCCGCTGGGGCCTGGGCCGAGGGCAGAGCGCCGGGCACACAGGGCGGCCGGCACCCCGGCCCCGGGCATCAGCACGCCCAGTGCTGTGGAGGAACCATCGGGCGCTCAGCTCGTCTCTGTTAATTAATCGGTACCTGTTCGCGGGGTCCTCGGAACTCAGAGAATTAAACTGGCTGTCTTCTGCAAGTTCAGGCGTCCCGGCTAAGGAAGAAAAGAACTTCTATCACTCGATGCCTGATAAAAAATGCTTAGCACGTTGTTTTTCATCTTTAAAATGATTCACACTGTTTTTTTACCGATGATAAGCTTATCCTAGCAAAAAGACGATTAAGTGATAAGAGTCGAGGTTTTTTAGCTTTCAGATTTAATGTTTTCCAACCGGGATTACGATAAAGACTAATATCCAAAAGTTCTCTGAAGCAGCCAGATAAATCAAGCTGGAGTTAGAAAGAAACATCGTCCCCGCCCCCTAAAAACCCCCTCCCTAAGTTTTCAAGGGAAATTGCAACGGTGAATAATTTGAAAGTGTCCACATGGCAACCTCAGAACATTCCAAGGGAGAAATACTCGAGTGGGTGATGTTTGACAAGCAGACCTTTCCCTGCTCTCACATGTGCACACACAGGCACGCACACGCATTCCCAGACACGCACACGCATTCCCAGACACGCACACGTCCCTGCACACGTGGAGTCTGTCTCACGTCCAGTGACCGTGGCAGCGCGGCACAGAGGCCCCCGCTTGCCGACTGGCCGCCACACTGGCCAGCCCGTCCCCAACCCCCCTCGGGTTGGATCTATTTCACGCTAAGCACCGTTCCTGGCCGCTTTCGGCCTGGTCCCGGGGGAGCCCGGGCCGAGGGAAGCCTGGAGGGCGCGCCCGTTCTCGGGGGCAGGGACCGGCCGGGCGGCCCAGCGGGAAGCTTAGAGTGTTAGCCCACAGGGGGCTCGAGGCCCTGCACGGTCAGGCGTCTGCCCAAGGAGCGCGGTCGGGGCTCAGGAGAAAGGCCTTGGGGGGAGACACAGAGAACCTCCTGGGCCCCTCAGTCCTGAGAGCGAAGACTCCAGCCAGGCGGACCGACCCACGGCGCCCGCCACGCACGGGCGCGCACCGTAAGGGCTCCTCGGAACAAAAGGGGGTAAACGTCCCCACACGTGGGGGCCTCTAGGGGGCGGGGAGGCCCGCACGGGGCGAGTCCCAGGTCAGAGCTTCCCAAACAGCAGGCTCCGAGCCCCTCCTCCGCTGAGTCCCATCCCCGAAGCGACCGGCCGGGCTCAGCAGCCACCGTGGCAAGGAGAGGACGGGCCCGCGGGGGGCGGGGAGGCGCCTACCTTCCTCGTCCAGGGAGGCCGCGTGGACCACGACGGGGCTGGAGTAGGCGGGCAGGAGCGCGGGCAGGCTGGAGGGCACGGCGTAGCCGCAGGGCACGGGCACGGCGTAGCCGCTGGGCACGGGCGGGCCGGCGCTCTCCTCGGGCCCGGCCTCGGCGTCGGGGGCCGGGGGCTGCTCTTCCTGGAAGGGCGTGATGTCGATGACGGAGTAGGGGTTGACCCTCGCCGGGGCCCCCAGTGTGGTCGGGTCCCCCGGCTGGCCCGCGTCCGCGCCTGCCCCGGCCTCCGCTCCTGCAGGCGAACACGGTGTCAGGCCTGCGGCTGCGGCCACCCCCGCCCCGGCGGGTCCTGGGACGGCGCGTCCACGGACACGGGGACGTCGGGGCCGCCGCACGGCGGGCCCGCTGGCCCCCGAGGTTCCGCCCAGGACCGAGTGCCCGCCCGGCCACGGGCAGCGAGCGCCGCAGCAGCCAGGCCCCCCCAACGCGGAAGCGGAGGCGCGGCGTCGGCGCTGAATGCACCTCCGGCAGCGCCGGTCGGAAGCACTTCACCTGCGCAGGGACGCGCCGGTGAGGCCGCCTGTGTTAGCAACCGGGACACCTGTTCCCTCCAAACTAGAGAGGGCGGTGAATGGGCGCAGCTGAAAAGCCTAGAAACAAAGAAACTCAGCCAAGGGCACAGGACGGCCCTCCCGCTCTGGCTGCTGTGAAGGTCTCGGCGCTCGCTGGGGACACGCCCTCCCCAGGGGGCGTCACCCGCGAGGTGAGGGGTGGCTGGCCCGCCCCCCGGGCCCACCTGCGCTGGGGGCAGCAGGCCCCACGGGACTGGCCGCGGGGGTGCCCGGCGACCGCCTGTCTGCCTCCGGCACCTCATCTCCGCTGTCAAAATCGAACTGCTCTCCCTCCTCCTCTTCCTCGTTATTGTTTGCGTCGAATTTTACTTCATTTTCTGCCGTTTAAGAGAAAGAAATCACAGCGTTAGCAACTACCAGCAAAGCCACTTTCACGTTCCTGAAGAGAGACGCGTGCTGGCCAAGCTGCCCCGGGCCCGCGGGGGTCAGCGGCTGGGCTCCCCTCCCAACCTGCAACTCACGGCCGGCCAGGCAGCGGGAGGAGGGCGACCCCACACCCAAGACGCTGACACCGTGACCCCCGAGCTCGCGGCGCTGCTCGCGGGCGCTGCTCCACCGGGGAGCAGGCGGCTCAGGCCCTGTGCCTGGTCCCCTGACACGAGGATCCGACCAACGGGGAACCCTGGGGCTGCAAGCCCCCCGTCCCCGCCCGGGGCAATTCTGTCCCAGAATGCTCGGCTGGGGAGGGCGGGAGGGCTCGCACACCCCACGTGGTGCCTTCTCCTGGGATGCCATGGGGCGGGGGCGGGGGCGGGGGGACCGGCTGCCTTTAACCAACAGCTCAGCTCGTGGGTCAGGGCCTCAGGCTGTGGGTTCCGCCCCCGGGCGGGGCACAGACCAGAGCCCTGCAGTGAGCCCGTCTGGCGGTGGAGCCACGGAGCAGTAGTTCCCGCTCACGTTTTTTTTTTTTTTTTAAGGAAAACAACGTAACTGGAATTAAAATGTTGTCAAGTGGCGTTGAAGTCCTCTATGTTGACCTGTGTTTTTGTCTCTTACAGATAAACATACTTAAAAATCACACTCGCCGGCGTTTTCTTTAGAAGGAGAAGGGCGAGGGGGCCGGAAGGAACAGCGCCCGCCCGGCTGGGAGGCGAGCCGCCCCGGGGCCCCCCGGAGCCCGTGGGAAACCCCCCGCTTCGCCCGGTTGCCTCCGTGGGGGTTTTACACGGACAGCAAACAAACGGAGAGCACAAAGTGGGAGCTGAGGCAGGCGCCTCCGTCCCCCGAGACACACCTTCCCGGTGATCCTGGGACAAGGGGTCCCCACAAACTGCCACCCGGACCTGCCCCTCCACCAACAACCAGGGCGAAAGGGGCACTTTCCGGGCCACACGTCCGGGCGGCCAGGGGTCCAGGGGCAGGAAGCGGGGCCTGCGGTGGAGAGCGGAGCCGACGTACGCGCGATGTAAGCGCCGAGGGCGTGTGCTCCAGTCCCGGGGTCAGCAGAGGGGGTAGCAGAGCGGGTGGCGCAGGGGCGCGGGGGCGGGGGAGCTCCCTCCGGGGTCTGCTCCAGCCGTCCCACCCGCCCGCCCGCGGCCGCAGGTCCTGCAGCGCCCGTCCGCACGCGACCCGGGCCTGCCGCCACGCGGGAGGGCCGGCGGCAGGGCCCGCACGCGGAGCCCCGGCCCGGGAGCAGCCCTGCAGGACGTGCCTCCCACGAGCCCCGTGAGAAGGGAATGAAGCAGACCCACGGCTAAGTCCAGAGATAACAGCGTTTTGTTCCCGGGGCCTCGAAAGTTATAATGTGCAAGTTTTATGCGAGATGGGACCTTTCTCTTATTTCTGATGTGGCCTTTTCGTGTTTAGTCTTTTATTGTTTAAAACCAAAGACGACAAGAAGCAGCAGCGCTTCGGAGGCGGCAGCTGCCGCAGCTCCTCCAACAAGGGGCTGCTCACAACTCCCTCCCGGCCTCCTCCTGGCGCTGGGTGTCACCGCGGTGGCCGCGGCCTGTGCTGAACAGCGACGTCCTCCACAACAATGCCGCCCGCGCCGAGGCCACTCCCTGGGGCTCAGCTCCCCCCCACCGCCCTCGTCACCTGTGTCTCTGAGGCTCACTGCGGAGGCACCAGCGCTTGGTGACCGCCTGTCCACGTACCCACGTCCGGTGGGGTGCGGTCCTGGCACAGACAGACACACAGACCAACGGGGCAGAACGGAGCCGGGGACACGCCGCTCGGACACGGACCCCTCGCAGGGACACCACGGGGGACCGGCGGCTGCACGGCCGCGCTGGACACGAGCAGCCAGAGCAGATGATGGCCGCTGTCCACTGCCTCCCCACGGCCTCCGCGGTCACGCACGGGCGGGGGACCCCACCCAGCGCCGGGGTTGGGGGGTGCCAGCCCGCCTGGCGAGGCCGCAGCCGACACGGGTGCTGCCTGGGCACTGCCCGGTCGACGGAGTGACGGGGGTGAGCAGTGTCGGTCTGTCTGCCTCCGGGAAACGATCGGAGTCAGACGCAGCCTGCAGGCGCCAAGCGCGTGGCCACAGCCCGGCCTCGGTCTCCCCGGCGGGGGCTCAGCCCTGGGAGGTCCCTGGACCGCAGAGGGAACTTTCCTGTGCGCCCTCCCCGGCCCCGTCCTCCCTGATGGAGGCCCTGACCAGAGAAGGCGGCGCGCCCCCGAGCGAGCCCACAGCGCGGACGGCGGCAGAGCCCAGACGCAGGGGCCTGGGGAGGCCGCGGGCAGGAGCGCTGGGCCGCCCTGGGGGCAGCCTCTCCCGGGGACCAGCCGCCCTTCTTCCCAGCCCCTCCACGTGGGCTTCTGGGGGCGGAGAGGGCTCAGCCACAACGCCCCCCGAGTGAGGGCCGCCAGAGCGCCGCCTGGCAAGGCCTGCGGTCAGACCGTCTTCCGGCCGAGCAGCGCCCAGCCCAGCGCCCGCCCACGCCCAGCAGCCTCCTGACTGGAGCGCAGGGAGGCCCTGGAGAGCAGCCACTGTGCCCTCAGGGCCACCATCCCCTGACACTTACCTTCCGGCGCGGGGACCGGCGGCTCTGGCGGGTCCATGCCGCAGCTCTGAGGTCGGGCGCCGGCCGCCCTGCGGGAGGAGACAGGCGGTCAGAGCGGCTGGGGGAGCGGCCCGAGGCCGCAGGGCACTGCCCACCCTCCCGTAAATAAGCCGGGGGCGAAACCCAACAGAGCCCTGAGCCGGCCTTCGCCAGAGAGCCTCCTGACCTCTGCCCCAGGGGTCACGACCCCCCCAGCCCAACAGCCCGAGGCTCCTCCGCCTCACTCCAGACCCAGGCGGAGAGGAGAGGCGAACACGCGAACACGCGTTACACCTGGGTCTTCCGCCGCCGCCTCGGACCACCACGCCGGGCTTTGAATGGAGAACTGGTTACGCCGGGGCTGGCTGCCCCCACTCTTAAACCAGCCTCTGTGCATCTGCTTTATTTTCTCTTTCCTGCGCTTCGCGGCGCCGGACCGTCGGGGCGGCGCCAGCTCCCTCGGGAGGAGGTCGGCCCCCCACCGCTGCCAGCTCAGAGACAGCAGCTCCCTGAGTCGCCAGTGGGCCACACCGTCCCACCTGCCTGGCCCTCGCAGAACGACAGGAGACCGGCAGGGCCAGCTCCGGAAGCTACGTCTGCAGAGGCCACTTCCCCGGTGGCCAGGGCGCCACAGGCGCAGCGGGGAAAGGCACACAGGGCCAGGTGGGAGGGCGCGGACCCCCGCCCTCCCCTGCGCTCGGCAGCAGGCTCTGGAGTCCTGGGCTGCCCGCGGCGGTGCCCACCACCCCGGCAAGTCGCTTGCCCCTCCTGGACGGGAGGCTGAACTCTGCCTCCCACTCCCCACTCCCCTGGCGTGTCCCCTGGCAGCCGCCCGGCCTGGCGGGGGCCCAGGCCCCGACCTGCAGGCAGGGGGAGGCGGGAGGTGCATGGAATGCTCCCCACCAGGGAGCAGCCACTCTGGCCTCCGAGCCGCGCTCACCATGGACCCGCGCGGCCCGGCCGGCCGGAGCTCAGGGAGCCCAGAAGGGCCCCTCCCGGCTGCTCTGCCCGGCAGGTGACCGACCCGCTCAGGCTGCAGCAAGGCGCCGCGGGCCCCGCGGGCAGCCCTGTGTGCTGGGCCCAGACCACACCTCCCAAGGCCCCCGGGGACGCCCCCTCTCACAGGCGTGAGGGCGGCGTGGGCATCGGTCCTCGCCTCCGCAGGTGCGATGCCTGGCTGAGGCCGCGGCCCCGCCCCGTCAGAGAAACCGGGTGAACGTGGCCCACGGGGACCGTGCGGAGCACACGCCCCCAAACGCCACCCTCGGCCTCTCCTGTCCGCGCAGCTCTCTGTGCGGCTGAAGGTCAGGACCCACGCCTCAACGTGGCTTTGGAGTTTGAACGTGCGCGCTACTTTCTTTAAAACTAATAAGGACGTCCAAGCGTAAGGGTCTGGTGCCCACAGTGGACGCCATGCCCCTGCCGGATCGGAAGCAGAGCCACAGCCGTCAGCGGGGAGCTCACCCCGCTGCTTCCTTCGTAACTTCCTCAGTGACTCACGGAGCCGAGGTGCTGGGGCCGAGACTGGGCCCCCGGCAGCGCCCCCCGCAGGGCACACGGAGCTGGTACCCCGAATGCAGCCTTCTCCCGCACCCCCCCGCCCCTCCCCGCTCCCTCGCCTCAGGGCAACATTTCACTTTCAAAGGCCATTTCTAGCATCAGAAGGCAGTTCACAGGAGAGCAAAGTTTTAAACCTTCAAAAGAGCATTTGCAATACTTTAAAGCCTCTTAAACAGCGTTTAATGAAAATATAAAACAGTGACAAGCCCCAGGGAGCCCTGGCTCCTAGAGGCCGAGGGGGCCAGGAGGACGGCAGCCGTGCCTGTGACTGGCCATTTTGAAAATTCACACACAAGAGCAAACGAAGATGCAAACGCGAACGTCCAGGCCCTGGCAACTCAGGGAAGGCCGAGCGAGCGGGGGTGAGGGGGGCGGGCCACGGGGGAGGGGTGTGGTGGGAGGGTCTGGGGGCCGGGGGAGGGCCCTTTGCCAGCTCTGCCCGGCGCCTTACCGGGCGCCTTACCTGTTCGCAGGCAGGGCCGGCCCACGACCACCGCCTGTGACACAGGACAGGCACGCCCCCCCGCCCCCCGGTCTGGCCCGGGGCCACCCCGCTGCAGAACGACACCGCGGCCTCCTTGCTGGGGCCCTGCCCAGTCTCCTAGACCCAGACCTCCCCTCGCCCGCAAGGCTCCCTGAACCTCGTCCGCCCTCCCTTCCACATCACACTTGCAGGAGGCCGAACCGAACGCCGCACGCCTGCCGCATAAATGTTTAACGCCTGCGTTCCCCATCTGTCCTCTCCCCGCCACGCACGCGTCCACCCGTGCACATGCCGACATAGGAATTAAACATCCACACGCCCAATGCCTCGCGGACCGCATTTCTCATGTGGCATGCCCGGGATCCTTGTGAACAGAAGAGTAATGTGTCACACAACTGGGTTTCTCTATTTTTACGACAACGTTTGTCCCAACTCCTGTTCACGGGGTGGTACAGACAAAATCACTGCCTTTTTCGCTTGCTCTGATTTAGGCAGCACATTTGCAGGGGGAAGAGCCTTTTCGAGCGCTGGCCTCCAGCAGGCCTGCGAGGGACCCGAAGTGAGGGGAGCTCTGCCCAGGCGGCCCTCCCCACCCCCCAGGGCGCCTCTATCCAGAATTCCCGAAGAGCTTTCCTCCCACTCCCGCGCGGGGGGCGGGGAGGGGGTGGGACGGGGGCGACAAACACGGAGGAAGCGTGCATCCCAAAATACCAAGGTGGTGAATGTGGTAAAACTAGAAAGTCAGGCTCAACTTTTGTAAGATAACAGGCTCTTTTGGGAAACTGAATTCCGCCGCTTCCCTGACTGTCTGAACTCCTGTGCCGGAGGCGCTCGTCAGCTAGGAAGCAGCACCGGCCAGGAGTGACTGTCCTTACTGCGGAGGAGTCATTCACCGAGGTCTGCGTCTGACTCCAAGGACACTGGGTACTGACCGCAGATAATAGCCACTCAGTCAGGTCCCAGGGCTGAGCAAATAAACGCTGTCGGAGCTCAGGGGGCAAATTATATTTTAAAATACACAAACAGTCAACCTCAACTTTCTTCCCCAGGAAGAATCCTTTCCTACAAAGAGACGTTTAAAATAGGCTTTAGGCCGTAAGTGAACAGTAAGAAAGCTATCCCCGGCCCTGCGCCGACAGAGCGGAGCTGAGCCCGCGCAGCCGGAGGAAATCCGGACCCACGGCCGCGGCTCCGCCTGCGCGGCGGCTCAGCCGGGCGAGACCGGGGGCCTGCGCACGGGGCTTCCCACCTCCAGCCGCAGCCACCGCACCGCACAAGCCTGCTGCGTTCGCGGGGCCCTGACATCCTATGGAAAGCCAAGGCGCTCGCCGGGATTTCTAGGTCCGACACTCGGGGTCCCCCAGAGAGCGCGGGGCCGGGCGCGGGCACCAGGGCACCTGCCAGCCAGCGGGCGCACACCTCCGGCACTTGGGCGGCAGCGGCAGGTCCCGGGGAGGGGCGCTTGGCGTCCGAGTCGCAGGGACCGCCTCCACCCCGAGCGGCCCGGACTGCGCCGCCCCGGGAGCTACAAGTGGCCGCTCCCCCACGCAACCGCCCCAACGCGTCCTCACGCCGCCTCCCTGGGGTCGCGCTCTCTCCAGCCTCCAGCGCGCGGGGTCCTCCTGCACCTTCCCGACTGTCCCTGGCGTCCTGGCCCGGCGCCGTGGTCCCCGCGGGACGAGGACACGCCGCTGAAAACGGGGAACTACTCCCAGAGCCTGGCCCTTTACCTGCGCCGTGCCCAGGAGACAGGGGCCACCAGCTGAAGTTGGGGAGCAGCTCGCGGCCCCGTTACCTGCACTGTCATTGGTGGGAGCAGAGGGCACCCCGCTAAGGCCGGGGGAGGCCCGGGCCCGCGACCAACTGGCAGAGACCCCCGCTCCCCCGCCTCCCAGGCCCGCACTCACCCCGCCCGGACCCCCGGCGCCGTACCTCCGAGCTCCCCTCTCCCCGCCCCGCGTCCACCGCCCCGGGATGCGCTCCGGCCCCGCCCACAGGGAGGCAGCTCCACCCCCGCATCGTGATTGGCAGGCCCGGACGATACGAGGAGCCCATTGGCTGAGGTAGCTGCCCGTTCCTCGGCCGAGCCCCGCCCCCGCGCCCGCGCATTCCTGAGAGGCCACGTGGCCGCCCGCTCCCCCCACTCGACCGGCGGCCCAACGCCCCGCCCGGCCGCGCAAGCGTGGGCCGGGGGCGCTGGACCCACCGCCCTACAGCACCGCCCCTTCCCTCCGGACCCGCCCAGCCGGCGGGGCGGTCCTGGCTCCTGGGAGGGTCCGCTGCGCTCGGCCCGCCTAGCGCCGGGCCTTCGGAAATGCACCGATTTCACACTTTTCCGAGGCGATTATTAAAGCTTGCTGCAGCCGGAAGCTCATTTTCCCGGGTATCTTCCCCGGGAACCTCCGCTGTGGCTTTCGGTGGCTTGGCAGGGCCGGAAGGCGACGTCGCGGGGATCACCGACGCACCTCCCAGCTCCCCACCCCCCACCGCGCCCCCCCCACCCCGCGGCGCCCAGCCCCTCCCCACCCCGCGGTGCACAGGCCCCCTCACCCCGCGGTGCACAGCCTCCCCCAGCCCAGATGGGCCACAGGGTGACGCGTGCATGGGTCGGCACAGAAGCGAGGGCCAGGGCCAGGGCCAGGGTGCGCGAGCTCCCGCCCTTCCGTGCCCGGAAGCCTTTACTTAGTTTATAACTATAAAGGAAGCATAATATTGTTATAAGTTACTGCTAAACGGAGAGAAGTCAGACAAAGCATGTTTAACAAGAAAACAAAGCCAAACGACAACTCGAGAAAGCTACCTGTTCCCCGGCAGCCGCGCAGCTGTGCCGAAGAGGCCGTACCCATCTCTGACCCTGAACCTGCAAGTGACGCAAAGTCAGAGCTGCCCCCGCCTCAGCTGCTAGAACACGGACAAAATAGCTAAATGTCACAAAACGAACCTCAACACTGAGCTCTCTTGAAGCTCCTAAGCTCAGAAGTTCTTCCCTGCCAATTTTGACTAATGTAAAAAGCAGCTAACACGGTAAAGGCTGCAAAGGTTAGCAAATAAATAACAGTGACTACGTAAGTGAGAATGTTTGAGCAGCGTTTGTTGTTAGCACTTGCTTATTTTATGGAAATAGGCTGAGCTACTTTAAAATATTATTTCAGGCCTATCTTATAGCACGCTGCAGATACTAGAGCATGGATCGGTTTGAAAAGGTCTTCCCTCTCACTGACTTAAAACATCAGAAAAATTATTTTAGTCTCTATTCCGAGGGTTCTTTGACTATTTTATTCTAAGGTCTTCTATGCGGACAGCTATCATAATGGTCCCGGCCAACAGGTAGAGAGGTGAGCGGCATTTGCTGGCGTGTGCCATACAAGAATACCACGACAGCCCGCCTGGTGTGGCTCAGCGGACTGAGCGCCGGCCTGCGAACCCAAGAGTTGCCGGTTCGATTCCCAGTCAAAGCACAGGCCTGGCATGCAGGCCAGGTCCTCAATGGGGGGCGCGCAAGAGGCAACCACATAGATGTTTCTCTCCCTCTTTTTCTCCCTCCCTTCCCCTCTTTCTACAAATAAGTACATAAAATATTTTTAAAATAAATCAATAAAAAGTTTAACTTAAAAAAAAAGGAATACCATGATAATTGTTATGTTTCCTGGTCAAGGAGGCAGAAATAAGAAGGAAATACGCATACTCCTGTGTCGGGATTCAGCGAGGGATTGGGGCTCTGTTTGGGGATCCATTCTGGTGTCTGAGACTTGTAAGATCCTGTGTGACTTAGACAAGCTCCTGAGCGGCCATCTAACCACCTAGAAAAGGTGACTAGTATACAGGGGTGTCTACCCCACAACCCACAGACGGCATGCGGCCCAGGACGGCTATAAGTGTAGCCCAGCACGAAGTCGTAAATTCACTTACAACATTACTTGGTTTTATTACCAAGTTTTATGCTAAGTTTTATTACTTGGATATGTACATTTTCTATATTAGTAATCACAAACTTGGGACCTACTCAACAATTTTCAAAGATCATCGAAAGGGCTGCTGCGTAATGAGGGTTATTACGTGAGCACTTTCTTGCTTATCTGTGCGGGCAAATAGCATGAAAATTATGCCCGGACTTGTTTGTTGTTGTTGTTCATCGTTGTTCGTTAGTGTTTGTGCATTTAATGTTTGGCCCAAGGCAACTCTTCTTCCAGTGTGGCCCAGAGACCCCAAAAGGTCGGGTCCCCGATTCCTGGATTCTAGATCACGGGAGAGTTTAAAGGGGAAAGCCACACAAAGATGCCCCCCGCGCATCTCGGGAGGGCGCTTGCTCAGTCAGCCGAATAGCAGTTTGGGTGCATCTCTTTTTTCCTTTTCAGAAGAAAGAAAGCACCTTGAACCAATGTTTCTCATGGATGGTTCACAAGTTTGTTTTCAAAAACTTAAGGTGCTGTTGTGTCATCGTTTTTTACCAGGAAGTCATGGTGTTTCAGGGCCTGCGGGGACAGGGAGATGCAGACGCAGCCTCCCCACGTCCCCGCGGCCGCGGCCCGTGAGGTTGGGGCCACCGCGGAGGACGGTGGGCCAGCCCCCACGTGCGCGGACGCAGCTCCAGGTGGTCCACGGGAGCCTCGCAGAGGCGCGCGGGCGTGTCCTGCCGGCGGTGGGCCCGCGCGCATCTCCCTTCGGGTTCCCTCTCTGGCCCGTGAGAAAGTCAGAAGAGTTAGGCTCAGTGTTCGACCCTTCAGGGACTTTCTGGTTTTCCTTCGGCTGTGACCGTTAGTATGTATCCTGGACGTGCCTCTTACACTTCAGAATTCCGAGGCGACCTGCAGGCCCTCACGTCCGTTCCCGGCCGGGCATCTTGGCGCCGCCGGGTGGTCGCGCGGCCCCGGGGACCCCAGGCCGGCGGCCGCCCACGGACTGTGTTACCGGGGCTGCGGCGGTGCCAGCAGAGATGGGGCCTGGCCCGCAGAGGCGCCGACACAATGGGCCGCCCCGTCCGCTGGTGGATGCGACCGGCCGTGGGGCTTGACCGCGGGGTTTATCTGCCGACCGCCTGGCCGGCAGACCCGGGACGAGCTCCATCTTCCCTGAGCCCCAGCTCCCGCGGGCACACGGTTTGCGGCTGCCCCAGGCTGGCGCGGGCGTGAAGGGGGAACGTGCGGAGGCCGCTGCCTTGCCTGGCACCGTGCCCGGGGCGGCAGGTCAAGTGTTTGTGAACAGGTACGCCCGTGGCCAAGTGCCCATCGCCATGGGCCGTCCACAAGGGGCCTCACCCCGTGCCACTGGGTCACGGTCCCAAGGGGAGCGTCTCTGGACCTCCTGACACCAGACACAGGGCCGGACGGAGGGCACGGGCGGGGGCGGCGGCGAGGGTACATGGGAACGAATATGCCCTCCCCGACCGGGCCAGCTCACTCTCCGCCCTCCTGCGGCGGGCTCCCCGTGGGCCCGTGCGCGCCCCGGCTCTGCCCACTGCACTGTGTGCCAGCCGCCCCCGCTCGCCGGACAGGCTGGGCGGCAACCGACAGACTGGGGACAGCCACCCGGCGAAGCACAGGCGCCCCCCGAAGACGGAGTTCCTTCCGCACCCTGAGGCGACCGCCCACGGTTCACGGCATGGTGGCTTCCTTCCCACCCACCGGGTCTGCGGGTCTGCGTGTAGCGTCATGAAGGTCAAAAACCAAAAGCGAGCAACCCTGTTAGCGCGAAGGCCCTTCTGGAGCCAGGCAGACCTGGCTGAAGGGCGTGAGGCTGGTCCTGGGCGGGCGAGGGGTGTGCCAGCCCCCAGGACGGTGGTGAGAGGCACAGGGCAGACCAGGCCCCCGGCCGTGCCCTTCCGTCCGTGCGGGCGGCCCGGGGCCAGCTGCACCGCAGCAGCGCTGTCCCCGCCACGTCCCTGACGGCCACCAGCAGCGGCCTGCGGCGCGCGCCTGTCCGAGCCCACCCGGGCCTCCGTCTCCCGCACAACATGGGGCCAGGTCCTGTCCGTCTTCACGGCTCCATTCACGGGGACTCCGGTCTGGGTGCTCACGTGTAAGACAGAACCAGGTGTTAGGACCCCACAGCTATAAGCAGCCCCCCACGGGTGTGGCGGTCCCGGGGGGCGCCGGCCAGCAGCGCAGGTGGGGACAGGCGCTGGTCGTCCAGGATTCTGCTATGAACCGGGAACTGCTGTCCACACAGACGCCAGCACAGCCCCCGGGGGCCCCCATTCTCCCCAGGGAGGCGCCTGCGTCCTCGTGGGGACCTGCCCCCTGCTCTGCTTGGGGAGGCCGCCCCGCGGGCCCTGCAGCCTCTGCCCCCACGAGCGGCCACGCAGCCCTTGCCTTCGGACACATTTGCAAAACTTCCAGCCGGAGCAAGCGGTGGGGAGGTGTCTCCAGGAAAAGGAACTCAAAGCTGGGGACAGGCGAGACGGGCACAGGGCGCGGTCAGCCCCGGGGGCGGCGCGCCCCACACCAGCGCAGGGGTGGTCCCAGCCCCCGCCCGTCGCCCTCGCTGCTGGTGACCACGGGCCCTGCACCTTATGAGCCCAGGCGCCTGTGAGGCCGCCCCACAGGGACGGCCGGGGAGGCATCGACCAGTCCAGGGCCGGGCTGGGCTGGAAGGGGTCGCCGGGGAGCAGACGGGCCAGGAGCCCAGGCCGAGCCCCGCGCACACAGGGCCTGCTTTCTCAGCTGCCTCTCCCTGCTCGCCTCCCCCCCATCTCTGCTTCCCACGCCCGTGCACGCCCCTGGGGTGGACGGTGGAGAGCAGGCGAAAGGGACAAGTTCAGGGACAGAGGAGGGGAAGCCGAAGAGATAAGAGGGGAGGGAGAGCCTGGGCCACCAGGGGCCGCGCTGTAGGGCTCAGACGCCGCAGGC